GTAAGAGTATACTAATATGTAAAATCTAAGAATTTGGTTTTTGGTCATCTGAACGCGGGCGGAGCTGCGGGTAATGCTAGTAATTATGATAAAATTGTAACTAAGCTGAATCTTTACATTAAATATTTTTTGGAAAATCTTATTGAAATAAACACTACGAGTATTATCGATACAGAGGCCGAATTTATAGTTTTTAGAATTTTTGTCTGTCTGTCTGTTTGTCTGTCTGTCTGTTACCGCATCACAGAAAAATCACTGGAGGGATTTTGATGAAATTTGGTATGGTGATAGCTGGTTATCCGGGTCAACATACAGGATACTTTTTACCGCGGAAAAATATCTAATTTCTGGAAAAAAATACAACAACTGCAATGTAAGAGTATACTAATATGTAAAATCTAAGAATTTGGTTTTTATTCACCTGAACGCAAGCAGAGCTGCGGGCAATGTAGTCATTTGTTTATTGAGTAGTGTTTTGTTTTTACTACATTTGTATCTTTTTCATCAATACGGACACAATAAAAATACGAGTACCTAATTATGTAATACGAGTTCCGTTGCGGTAGCAATGCCGCACTAACGACATACTACAAAAGAACGCATGACTCGTTATTGGCTTGTACGCTTCCAACGTGTAAATTTTGATCTACAAAATGAACCCCGTGGTTGCTTGAAAACAACAATGACGAATTAAAGACGATAGTGGAAGCTGACGATACTCAATCTACGGCTGAGTTAGCAGCAGCTTTCAACGTTAGCATCAAAACAATATTGGTCTATTTGTGTCATATTGCCAAGATAAAAAACTTGATAAGTTGGTGCTGCATGAACTGAACGATAGCCAGCGCGACGAACGCTTTGAAGCATGCCTTGCGTTGCTTAACAGACGTAAAAACGAAGATTTAGAACCGCATTGTCATTTGCGATAAAAAATGGATTTTTTTTTGATATATAATCGTAAGCGGTCGTCATGTTCATTAGACCGTGGTTCAGCACCTAGGCAACGCCAAAAACGAAAAATTACCCCTGCAAAGACACACAAGTCACTGTTTGGCGGTCTAGTGCCGGTATAATTCCTCATAGCTTCTTACCAAATGGCTTCAGCATTACTACAGATGTGTAATGTAAGAAACTGGACACGATGATGGGGAACCTCGTAAATCTCCGGCCAGCCTTGATTAACCGCTCGTCCCCGCTGCTCCTCCACGCAACGCTCGACCTCATATGGCACAATAGACGGTCTCTAAACTACAAGAGCTTTGAATGGGATCAAAATAAAGAATGGCACAATCTTTACAGTTAATAAAAAATAAACAAATATAAAAAAAACAATATTAATGAAAATCCGCGATAAAAAGCAGTAAACGTGCAGTACTATTTAACATTTCTAGAGACTTCACTCTACACTAACGCTACTCTCGATGAATTCAAGCGCGGTAGCTCTCATTTGGTTACGAGTGTCAAGTGCCAGAACACTTTTACTCAGGAGGTCAAGTGTGATGACGAACCAATAATTGAGTCTCGTCAAAAAAATATCATAATAGAACCGAAGTATTTTTTCAATTATCGATACAGCTATAAATTCCTTAGAGTAAAGGTTTTCCCAGATTACTGAGCATAATAAACTGTAAGCATTTTACTTTTTAGTGTAACATATGTATTTTCCTAAAGAGAATTGCCAAAAAGTTTATTATTAGAACATTGTAACAACCTTTTAGCCTTGATTTTAACACTTCCAGGTAAATTACTAATAAATTAATTAAATTTCTAAGAAATCTATTGTTAACTGTAATGCCGGCGTGTCCGCGGTCGTGAAGGGATTAATGTCAGGAACCAAAATCAAAATTAATCCGCGAAAAACCGAAAAGATAGTTTTATTTAAAAAACGTTAGTGTAAAGAGCGCGAATATTATTTTGCCCGGAGTGGTTAAATGGCTAGATCGGGCACTGCTGTAATGCATGGCATAATTTTGTTACTACACAGGTATTAATCGTTCATATGGATCTAAAAAAATATTTATCTGGCCGGTAAATGGCGTGAGGTGCGAAACGTGATATTTCCCTATATCTCTTACGTAGTAGGACTAACTACCTTACCTATCTTGTATAGGCCGTCCTGGCGTGGGATTAACTTCGCCGTCTGTCCACGTCCTGCATCGTTCGGCCCCTGCGTTTTAAGTAGCACCATATCGCCTACCTTATACTCTGGCGGCGATCGCCGTCTCTGGTCAGCAGCCTCCTTCTGAACGGCCTGCGCTTTTTCGTGGATATCTATTAGGTACAAAATTGTCGTTTTCGACAATGGCCCTCATATCCCTCGCAGAATCGGACGGAGCTCGCAGTTCTCTACCGAAGGTAAGATATGCTGGCGTAAACCCTGTACTGCTGGTAACAGCAGAGTTCATGGCGAACCTAATAGACGCTAGATGCAAATCCCAGGTAGAGTGGTCGTGTCCTACAAGCATAGCCAACTGAGGCTTAATATCTCTATTTTTCCGCTCTATGGGATTAGCCTCTGGGTGATAAAAGGGTGTAAGTGCTTGGCTTATACCTAAAACATGACAAACCTGTTGCATGACCTCGCTCACAAATTGTACACCGTTGTCACTGATGAGCCGTCGAGGAACTCCATATCGAAGGAACACCTCGTTCGCCAGTATTTGTGCACACTCTGCACTGGTTGCGTTCTCTAATGGAAACAATTCCAACACCCACCTATTCTTCCTCGGTGTTTCTACGAGCGGACCAAATAAGTCTACGGAGACTACTTCAAACCGCCTTGACACAGCAGGCGTTTGCAGCAGACCTGCAGGTTTGCGATTGTCAGCTTTATACCTTTGACACGGCACACACTCCTTTATATAGTTAGTAATGAATGTGCGCATACCTGGCCAATAATATCTAGCGCGAACACGGCTTAACGTGCGTTCCACGCCGAAATGTCCTGCCGTAGGCGCGTCGTGGAGTTCAGTCATCACTTGCCTGCGTTCGTGTTCTGGCACAACAATACAGCATTCTTCTCCATCGTCTGACTCTAAGCTATATCTATAAAGTATACCATCGGAAATAGTGTACCCACGATCGGACCATGGCCTCCCCCTAGAAGGTTCGTCAGACTCCATGTCCTCAATGATTTTGCGAATCTCTGGATCTAACAGTTGATTGCTGCGGATATCACCACTACTCCTCTTTGGTAAGTCAACGACTGTCATACATAATTCGCACTCACCTTGGTTCTCAGCACAAACTGGTCGCGAAAGCGTATCCGCTACCACGTTCGAGCGTCCCGGTGTGTATTGGATGTTGAGGTCGAACTCTTGCAATGTTAGGGCCCACCTAGCCAGCCGACCACTAGGTGACCTCTGACTCATTAGCCATCGCAAAGGCTGGTGGTCCGTCCTAACCGTTACCTTCGCAGTATCTACGTAACCGCGAAACTTACCTAACGCCCACACGACGGCGAGTGCCTCTCGCTCCGTCGTGGAATAATTCTTCTCTGCACTAGTGAGAAGACGACTTGCGTACTCGATCGGTCTCTCATCGTGTCCCTCCCCCTGCATTAAAACAGCCCCAAGGCAGTAAGCGCTACTGTCAGTGCAGAGAACGAATGGCTTCGACTCATCCGCCTGACGCAGAATGGGAGCGGATACGAGGAGACGCTTTATCCGCTCAAACGCCTCCTGATGCTCGGCGTCCCATCGCCAGGCACTTGATTTCTTCAGGAGTGTTGTAAGAGGTCTCGCGATTTCAGCATAATTATTAATAAAGCGGCGATACCAACTCGCCGTTTGTAAGAAACATTTTAAATGTTTAACATTCTGAGGGGCGGGCATATTATCAATAGCCGCCGTCTTGTCAGGATCCACCTGGATTCCGCCTGGTACAATAACATGTCCTAAAAACTTAACAGATTCTCTCGCAAAAAAACTCTTACCTCTGTTCACTCTTAAGTTAAACATAGCCAACCGATCAAAGACCGCCTCCAGGTCAGCCAGGTGTCTCTCGAAAGGTCCCGGCGACAGCAGTATCAGATCGTCTAAATACGCTAGGAGCGCTACTTCTTTCAGGTTGGACCGGAATCGGTCCATCAACCTCTGAAAGGTTGTTCCGGAATTCCGCAGTCCCATAGGCATCCTCTTAAATCTAAAGGTACCGACTCACACTCTTCAATGATGTCATCTCGCAGCAGCTTATCAAGCTCCTTCTGCAAGGCCTCCTTCTTACTCTGTGACATTCTATATGGTGGACAAGCAATTGGTTGTAAAAACCCCGCGTTACAATATTTAATTATTATGATCGCGACTGTTCTCTATTTTTCTGTATAAATAAAAAAATAGTTATAAATATATAACTATATTTATGAAATCAAAAGGATACCTGTGTAACTAAATTTAATGTACTTTTACATTATAGTTTAACATTTTACACTCTATATCTATTATCTACAGAATATAAAAATGACAATTGACATACTAAGCCATAGAGTAGGTACTATTGATACGAAGCATTGCATGCGTGACGTGAGTAGTAGACGTGAACGATCGAATGACAGTTTTAAATATTTAAAAAATATATTCTAATATTATTGTTGCAGATATAATATTTTTACACTTTTTAATATTATTTAATAGTAACAATTCAACAGCAATATTTACAAAATTAAGTGTTGTAGAGTAATAATAACGAGATAACAGTGACAATTCAGTTTGTTTATTGGTTAACATCCGCCATTTTGTACTGTCGTTTGTTTAGTGACTGGCTCTCTTTCCTAGTGATGCTATACATTTCTTTTGCAAACATATATTGTGACTTTGCATGTGGTGTACAATGTTTTTGCTAGAAACTTTGTTTTTAAGGGGTTTAAATTGATCTCGTGCTAGTTGTCAAACTGACGTCGGTTTAACTTTACGTATTGCCGGATGTGTCCTACAATCGGTTAGGGCTATTTAACGTGCCACCTCGAGTGGTGTACGTGTTGCGAGACCTATGCTGCCGAGAATATGAGTGGCAACGGCAATCAAGTGCCGCTGGCGCCAAGTCAGCGTGGTCCCGGACCGTATCCTTTTAATATTTTGTTTATTATGCACTTATAAAAAATTATTTACGTAATATAAGTCAATTCAGCATCTGGTCGTGCCGCATTTGCGAATGACTACGACCGATTGTTTTTAAATTTCCAGCTTCCCTAACTTTATTTTCCAAACTTTTATCCAGGCCAAAAAAGTTTAGAAACTCAACTCATTTTACTTTACGAACATATTATTTGAGTATAAAACTTTTGTTTTAGCTTACACAACTTATTATCTTTAATATAACTATACTGGAAACACATTTAGCAGAGCTTTTGTTTATGTCAGCTATGTATGTTATGATTGTTTTGACGAATCTTTGTTACATGAGTGTAAGATATTCTTTTCAAACATTGTAAAGTGATTATTTTATGTTGTGCTTAAATTTAATTGCACTGCTATTATGAAATATGTAAGTATCTAGAAATATTTTCATAGAGTTTAAGATTCCATTAATGTAATTTGATTACTTTTTTATAATTTTAGGTCATTTAGTATTTCTTTCTTCTTTAATTTTGCATTTTCAATTTTTTTATAAGTCATAAATTGAACATAATGTAGCTATTTATATTTAGTCTAAAATCCACCTTTTATTGTGCTAAAGCGAAAGTTATTTGTTAGCCTGCGAATATAGATCAAATAAACCTGTGTGCCTACCAAAAATATAATAATGTTAACACCTATAATTGTTTAAATATACATTTTTTAATAAATCCAAGTAAATAATAATTTAAATTTATATTGATAATAGGAAAATAAAATGTGCCAAATGTTACCATATTGTGTTTTTAAGATTTTGCAGGCTACTTGCACCTAATTCTTAATTTGATTTAATTGTTTTCAATATCTTTAGTAAAAGTCAACAAACAATTTAAAAATCATATTGAGTGTAAAATAAGTTGTTTACTTATTTGTAAATTATTTACATGGTGTGACTATTGTTAGCTCATGTTATAAATTCATTCAATATGAAATTTATTTTGATGGAATTCATTCAATTTGTCAACAAATTTTCAATATTTATTAAAAACATGAAAAAACTGACTTAATTTGACAAAAAGGTAAGAAAAATATTTGCTTTAATAGTTATTTTAGTAATAATCGTTGAATATTAAACTAGATGATATTATATAATACATAGTTATAATATGAGAATCATTATGGTCAAATCATTCAATATTTTTATTATAAGTTGTGTATTATAAGATATTAAAATTTTCTCTCATTTAGCTAATGCTTGTTTATTAATGGTATACTTTTATTTAATCATTTTGATCTTGATAAAGTAGATATTATTTGACTGCTTAAAATATATAAGTATCAAGTAAAATTTACTGCACTTGTATATGTATATAATTATTATTTTTATCATACATAAAATATTGAATTATTAACCACAAAAGTATAATGTAACATCATTTTAAAAAAGTATTCTATAACCAATAATAGTTTAGCAAGATATACTAAAAGGTATAATATATTAGTTACTGATTCCTCATATTGTCCCTTAACTCTATTTTTATGTATAAAACAAATATTAAAGTACAAACTAATAACATAGAAACCACAAAGTGCTTGAAGTTTGCTAAAGTTATGCATAGTAAATAAATATAATATGGCAACCCTATAATAGGGTATGATAAATACTAAAATTATTAAAGTTGAACTATGACATCTACGGTATGAAATAACGCGATAGAAACGGTTTTTATATTTGACAAAAAAATTATATTCATTAATATCTCAATTTTCTATCGAAGTGTATTGTTTCAATGTCATTATTTCTTTCGTTATTTACGATAGACGTGCATAGGGGTGGCCGTCGTCTAAAGAGAACGCCCCAATTCGTAGCGACGGGTTGTGACATACGTTTGTCTCTTTCATGCATTTTCAACCCCCCCTCGCTTATAACGAAACGGAATGTTCAGCGGATTGTACACCGAACAGACTTTTCCCGTTGCTAGCATATATGTAGTAGTATTAAAATTTAGTATTTAACAAAAAACAACCATATAGTGAGCATAAATTAGTGATAATTAATCGTATAAACGTGAAAGTGTCGCGGTGGCAATAATTTAGCAGCGTGAGCGTGGAGCGATGTACCGCGCCGTTTCCTTATCGATTTTCTCTATGCTGCATTAAATTACTATTTGTGAATGCGGACTGCAAACATTTTAGCAATATGCCTTACGTACACGCGTTTTATAACCGAACCAACAATTTATAATAGTATTTTATATTTTTGCGGTGCTTATTATGCGGTCGTCGGAATTCGCTAGATACCCATAATATTTAAGATGTTAACGTAAAGCAATAAATATTTGTATATTTTTTATTACTATAAAATATAATGTAGATATCATCATATGCCGTTGGTTGTGCCTCCATTGTTCTGGGAATGGTTAAATATTTGGCTAATACAATTTCTGAAGAGTTTATATCATGAAATTAAGATGGTGGCGTTAAGAGGTGGTAATAGTTCCTTGGGTACTGTATCACACGGATGTGGCCTTCATGGAGGGCAACAGAATGCACTCGATTTAACGCACCGTTTACAAACATCGTTAGGCATGCAGCATAGTGCCGCGAACCAAGCAGTTGGCCACCACGCTAGCCATTTGAACCACGCTAACCACGTCAACCACACTAATCATGTAAACCACATTAACCACGCCGGTCAAGGCAATCAACTCAACATCCCGCCATTGAACAGTGTGTCGCTATTGATGCAACAACAGACCCCCGCTACTCTCAAGCACGAACAGAATACGCGCTACTCTAACTCGAACTGTGTTCTGCCCTCGCACCACTACAGATTGTTATCAACAGCCAGTAAGTAAGCTCAAATCCAGCATCTCGTAGCAAAAACATTGAAATTATGTTATTCTGTGGTTCTATTATTTTTGTTAAGTTTTTTTATACAATAATTTACATTCCAAACTACTTTTAATTCTTCGTTTTTACAACTAAAAATTGACTATAAACGATTCAATGAACTTTGTATAAACGTAAAAAAAGTACTGAATGTTAATTAATTTATTTAGATGCTTACAAAATAAAAAACAACGTTATTTCTGTAAAAGTTTTTAAAGCATTTTAAAGAAAGGCACAAGTTTAGTATATGGGACACAGTCTCTGGAGAAGTGGGTGGTATTTTTGGATAGGGGAGATCAGATATTTGAGGAAACGAAGTAGTCAAAAGTTATGGATACTTAAAGTTAGAACATTTCCATACATTTCTATTCCTAAATAAGTCATAACAAAAGATAAATATACCTTTAACGAATAGTAAACGGCCTTTTTCGTTTAAAATCCATATTTTCATAACAAGATTTTAACGCATTATTATTTTGAATAATTTCACTAAAAACAATAATCTAAACAAAATAATCTTAAATTTTGACAAAACTGTTAATTTCTGTTTCATATACCGCTTTCAGGACATAACAGATTATCGCTCAATAATTAGTTAAGAGTTATGCAGAATTAAAGAGAAAATTGTCATCAGACTACTAAGATTTTAAAATAGAAATATGTTATTTTCAATTCATGCATGGTTTACGAGTTTTTATTTGATTTATGTAAAATATTGATTTACATTAAACAAAAATTTTTAAACCATTATTTGATTTTATTAGTGAATTCTTTTCAGTATTTTTGGCGGGTAGTCACAAAATACCGTGAAGTTCGATACTTTATGTGAATACGATCTATACTCAATACTCATTAAACGCGTTTAGGTTTTCATATTATTTGCTCTTTTTCATAGTTACACTTTCTCATATTATTTTTCAGTAGTTATTAGTTTTTGCTAATTTTCGTATACGTTAGTTTCTAGTATTTTGTTTTAGAAGTATTACTATAGTTTTAATATTCTTAGTGTTTTAAGTGTACTCATGCAGTTTATAAGCGTAAGTAGACTATCATTTTAAAGTAAATGTATATTTTTTTTTTCGTTTAAAAGACAGTCCGACTTGGTTAACGTAGGTTGAGAAGGTTACCCCCCCCCCAACGTGCGTTCACCTTGTCGTGGTGGGGGGGCTCAGTAGTAGTAGCGAAGCTAAGAAACGCACGTGGAGGTTGCCCACTTCGGTGGGCGGTGGGAGGTGGCCCTCTTCGGGGGTCGGTGTACCATGCGGGTTGCTCCTGGTACTTCTCTGATAGCAGAGTGGACTGTGGAGCAACCCCATGGTTGTGGTGGTCTGCTTCGGCAGACCCGCCGTCGGGGCGTCGTAGTTGAATGCGTAAGCGATCCTGCGACGCCCCATTAAGACGGGGGAAGGTTTTGTTGGGTTTTAGTGGGTAGTACTGGCTGTATTACGCCGGTGAGTCCCACACGTCGTGCGTAAATGCATTTCCCAACGTTAAAAAAAAAAAAAAAAAAAAAAGGTTGAGAAGGTTAAGGCAGGAGCGAAGCGTAGCGTAGCTCCCGCATTAGCCTTCTTGTTAGTTTTTTTTTTAATTTTAAACCCAGAACCCATGCTATCATTAGTGCTTTGTGTTAATTTAAAATTCGGTGATAGATCTGACTTATTTTCTGAAGATCATTTTGACACTAGGAAGTGACATTTTGACATTTCCAAGTGGTAGTAATATCATAATAATGTATGGATATGTTGTAACTTTAAGTCTCAATAACTTTCGACTCTTCCGTTTCTTTAAAATTTATATATCTGGACTCCCTATTGCCTCCCCTATACCACCCACTCCTCCAGAGGCCGCGTTCCATATACTAAACTGCAGCCAATAACTTAATATTTAAAGAAAAAAAATGAAATACCATATTTTTAGTTTATTTGTGACTTTTTTGACGACTACGAAAAAACATTAGTAGTCGTAAATCTAACAAAGTATATAATATATTATGTATAATTATGTATATATAATACTCCCGTGATAAAGCCTATTTAAAACATTAAAATTATATCGACCTAAAAGAACTATTTTTTTATTTTGTGACTAAGTCTGGTTAAAACAGAAATAAATAATAGCTCATGGCCATATGTCGTTTTAAAAACGATTTTTCTCGCTTTTCAGTTTTATCAATATAAAATAAAATATATATTATTTAAAATTAAAATTTTTGATTTAAATGCATTTGAATTATTGTTGGAGCTAGAAAAATGTTATTTATTTTAAAGAATTTTATAGGTACATTAGACGGTAATATGGTAACACTCGTTAGTGGCGTTTGAATAAGTTTTATTTTCCTACCCTACTTCAATTAATTTTCATTTGGCATTATTGTATTGACACTTCGAAGTTTAAATTAAGTTTCATTGGAAATATTGTGTCCGTAGCGATATCATATAATACAGTAATTATTAGAGTTGCACGCGTATTACAACTACTATGCCGAAAATTTTCTTAGCATTCTTCAGATATCCTCGGGCATCCACACCACACAATGAGTTGAATTGGCATCACTTAGGTGAAGTATTGATTTATATTTTTTATTTTTATAGGAAATAAATTATGTAATCTTATTTAATAAAACAAATTTTATACTTATTATTCGTTTAGCGAATTGTCTATTAACTGAAAAGTGACAATACGATTAATATATAGTAGTTATTAATTATTATCATTTATTTTCGTTGTGTTGTATAACAAAGACATTGTTTTCCAGGACCGGAATGCTACCATCCGTCGGGAGCCGCGGGCGGCGCCTACATGTCCGGCGCGAGTGGCACGCAGGGTTCTGCGCAGAGCATGAGGGGCCAGCCTGCGCCACAGCCCTCTGCGCCGCCGGCGCCGCAGCAAGACATCTCAAAAACAACTATGGTAAATACCAACATCCTTAACTAACCTTTGCCGTATTTTATTATATTATTTACTAGCGACTCACCCCCCTTCCGCTCGGGTTCGTCCCTGGTTACGTTTTTACGTTAAGTATATATTTCTCAGAGATGAGATATTTTCTCGCAGTAAAAAGTATCCTATATGTTGACCAGTTATCATCGTACCAAATTTCATTAAAATCTGTCCAGTGGTTTTTCCGTGATATGGTAACAGACAAAAATTCTAAAAACTATAGATTCGGCATCTGTAGCGTCTATTTCAATAAGATTTTCAAAAAATAATAATTAATGTACAGATTTGACTCAGAATTTTATTATAATTATATATTGTCACTAAAAGAAATACAAAAATGAAAATACGAATATAGAAGGGATCCCTTCCATCCAAGATATGGTAATGAAAATTAGTGTTATAAAACAGTCTAATATAGTACATTAATATCCACTCAATGTATGTCAATAGGTGATATGAACCTTCCCATTAGTAAAAGAATTTCTGAACTGGAAAAGGAGTACCGGAGTTCTTACGTGTTTATTCAAAAACTAATTTTACCTACATAGTTCATGACTATTCACCTAGATAAGACTTTCAACGAGTAACATAAATTGATAAGTACTTTAAGAAGAACGACAAGCACTTCGATATATTACTCGTATTAATGAGAAACATTGTGTTTTGCAGTAGCAATTTTAAAAGGGTTTTGTTTATAACACTTTACATTTAAGAATTAATACGTAATGTGTATAAAAATCAGCAATTTGTTTTTGTTTTAATGCAGATGACTCAAAATTATTGCTACCAGATATTGTCAAAAAATATATTTTTCTTTTTAGGGGTTTAGGTGCCGTTCATAAAATACGTCACGCTAAATTTTACTTTTTAGACACCCCCTCCCTTTCCCCATTTCTCCTCCCCGTTCCTCATCCCCCTTTGTCCCCTTCCCCCTTTGTCACGCTATGTTTTGGACTCCTCACGAACGTCGTCGCAAACGTCACGTTACCTTAGACTTCCCGACCCCCCTTGTCACATCTTGTCACAGTAGGAGAACCACCCCCCACACCCCCATTCTCTCTGTAACAGTGCAAAAGTATTTTATGAACGACCCCTTATAGGGTTTTTAAATATTAATGTCATATATATGTCATAGTAGTTATAAACGCAACTATATTACTAGACAAGGCAAAAATAATTTAAATCATTTATATCTTACAACATCCCACTTGCTCTATATAGAAGACAATAAAACACCTACAACCTGACAACTTTGTACACCCTCTGCGACTCCTGGTGATAAGGCAAGCTGTCCATCCACTAGGTCAGGTGTCACTGCCCTTATGCCTGATCTCGGCGATCCTTCACATCAGCTGTACCTATATCTTTTTTGTCAATTACATATATTCTGTTTTATCATTTCTGTATGTTTTGTCATGTTCTAAATATTTGCATGCTTAACTCTTTCTGCTGGTTAAAAACTGCTTGGTCTCTTAATGTTTTCCGAGACTTCTTTTTTTCATTTTAATTTGGTGCAAATTTAAATCCAGCAATTGATTCTACAAACACTTTGAATAATATTAACAAAAACCTTAATGTAAAATTGGTATAAGGTTAACCCTTTAAACATAATGCTGTCTGTGTATTACGTTAATTTATTATCTACTTCATTATATGTCAATTTATAAGTTTAGTATTCAATACTTCTTATTCTTAGTAAGATTATCAACTTTACTATGATGTACCTAATTCTTCTAATGTAATTGATCTAATTAACTGTCGAGTCTCCGACGACTTTGGAAGTACATACATATATCTAGTTGGTAATACATTCACTACTTGATAGGATACCATTTTTTATAATATTGGGAAATGTATATATATGCTTTTATTCTTAAATACGCTTAGTTATATTTTGATTTACGATGTGGAAAAGCTAATATTTCTCACTAAGTCTAAAGGAAATGCCATCCTGCCTTCCCCACTTGCTTGGGAGCAGCAGTACTACTTTCTTTTTCAACCCATATACACCGAGGATCACAAAGCTCCAGAGCGATACCACTCACACCACGACAACGTCAACTTATTTTCTGAGAAATTTATTAGGACCTGCTGGTAGTGTTTTTACTGATAATTACTGATATTTTTTTCGATATATCCTCCATGATGATCCAAATACTTAATTTTTTTCCAATTTATTAATTCTTTAGATTCATGCTTATTTTTATGGAAAACTCGTTTCATCTTACTATTGTATTCTTTCAGGCGGGTCCAAGTTACGTTTCACCACAAAATCAAACGCCACCGTCGCGTCCACAGTATCCAAATTACCAGTATCGAGCATCGCAACACGGGAACAGGCCTGCCACTCACCCAAGGTATAGTGACTTTACGTACTTTACTATTATATTTTTAATCGGTCTGCTATCATAAGTGTGGGGGTTTGTATGTGTAAGGTGTGTATGTCGATTACTCTTTCACGCTAAAACGACTGGACTGATTTTGATGAAATCTAATACACAGGTACATATACTATGACTTTGCCACATTAGCAGTACTGTAAAACATAGCTAGGGTGTGTCGCTAGCAAAACAATTATCTTCTTAAATGGTAATAATATTTTACCGATGGTAGAACTCTTGCCTGAGGAGTCCGACTGGATGGGTACCACCCCCTCATCTATTTCTCCCGCTAAGCAACGATGATTACATTGTTGTGTTCCGGTGTGAAAGATAAGGTAGCCAGTGCAATTACAGGCAAGAGGCATATAATCTTAGTTCTCACAGTGACAACGCACCTGTGGTTCTGCATTTTTGTTACATAAAACCTAAGTGCATGAACTGTAGGTGTAATGGGCGACAGGTTCTGCTTCCCATCAGGTGGTCTGTCTGCTCGTTTGTTACTAAACCCCATAAAAAAAGGGAAATTTATTTCATTCTAATATTCATATTTCTTAAAATAAATGCTAAATTTAGTTTTAGGATAACACCAGCATGCATTTTGAATAAATAATAATAATAGCATATATTAAGTTAATAAATACATGTGACGAAAAAGTAACTGTATTTATTCAACTTCACGAGAACTGTCTATTAAAAATCTGTTATAGCAACATGTTTCTATAAAATTTATAATTTTCTATTGTAATACATATTGTAATTGATCTGTTCCAGTCACAAAAGATCAGTTACAGCCATAGAAAATTTCTTTTTAAATATAATTTGTTCCATTAGCTCCTAATATTACATTTATTTTTTGATCTTATAATTTTTTATTCAGTTCAATAAAATTTTACCTGTAAAATACTATTTTAGTTACTTTATCTAAATGTTATGCTTATGTTACAGTAGGTTCACAACAGTTAAAAACTTTTATTTCATAGTTTAGTGCATTTCAGTTGCATTAATGCAAATAATAGTTAAAGGTAATCGAGGTATGTAAATATAAATGGATTTTATAATAATCTCTGTCTGTTAATGTAACACGATGTGTATTTGAATGCCGATAAGTCGCAGAACTAACCAAGTCACAGTTTAATGTGTGTATAATTTCTATATAAAAAAAAAGTATCTCCACAGGCAGTAGTATAAACACTACTCTCTTACATTAGTCCCGAAAACAGTAAATAGAGAAATGGTTGTCAGTAAATTTGAAAGTGATATTTTTTTCAACAGACAGCAGCAGCCGTACATGGGTGGAGCTGGTGCGACGGCTGCTGGTCCAGTTATGTTCCACCCCACACTAGTCTTCCAGCCCCACATGGGGCTCCCACAAACATATCCACAGCCCAGATCTAGCACACCTGGGTAATATAATTCACACAATTATTATTGATAATATTGTTCATAAAGTTTATTGCAAAGTATTTAAAAATGATTAAATTTATCTAAGTTACAATATAGAACATACATAAAAGTGCATCGTTGCTTTGTAACAGTAAAAACCACATTATATTAAATTTTTAAGATTATCAAATATACTAAATGTTGTTCCATTTGGTGATGAAACCAATTATCATCATAGCTATGATGACGATTGTTATGGAAAATTGTAATAATAATTGAATGAACCAATAGCTTGAAAATATAAATAATTATTAATATTGAGCAAAAACCAAAATAGTCATATAACAGTCAGACAGTATAATTTCTTACCCACGTGTACTACACGTCTTTTTTATTTGACACGGTTCATGAATAATAGTTATGTCAATTTAAAGAATTATCTAGAGGCGAACCCGAACGAGGTTGAGGCACTAGTACTTAAAATATTTCACATCTTTGCACAAAGCTGAACATATGAAAATTAATGTTTGCATGAAACAAAAATATTGGGGGAAGTAAATAAGAAACAAGTATTCATTTTCTCTCCAAATTTGGAAAATGATGGAGAGAACCATCTTTATAGGGTTCGAGAATCAAACTGAGTTTTCATAAACTTCTTTAAAACCACCAGTAAAAGGGACCAGTTAACTCCCGGCCAAATAGCATTAAAATCTGTAGGCAAACCCATATTTGTGAATATTGTAAAGTCAGAAATGTTTTAATATTTAAATGACATGCAATGAAATAAAATTGGGGCAGCCCAAGTCACTAGTAATGTAAATTGCTATTGCTTAACTTATTTTTGAACTACAGTCCATTCGCGTTAAGAAAATAGTGAGTCATCAAGTGCAACGGCAGGTAAAGGTGAATACAAAGTGGGAGTAAAAATTCAATATCTCAAAATTTTAAGTTTAATGGATAAAAATAACTTAATTTTCTTACTTATCTCAAATCTTGATTTGAGATGATAATATCTTTATTTTGTTTTGAGATAAATAATCACCTTGATTATCTTAAATCAAAATAAAGTCATATATTATAATGATAATGACTTTATTTTGATTTGAGGTAATGAATAAACTTAATTATCTTAAATCAAAATAAAGTCATCATATAATGATAATGACTTTATTTTGATTTCAGGTAATGAATAAACTTAATTATCTTAAATCAAAATAAAGTCATATATTATAATGATAATGACTTTATTTTGATTTTAGAAAATTAATAAACTTAATTATCTTAAATCAAAATAATGTCATCATATAATGATAATAACTTTATTTTGATTTGAGATAATTAATGAACGTAAATATCTCAAATCAAATTAAAATCATTAATAATATAGTTAAGTCTGCCTTCAACTGGTCATTGTAAAATATGACTATAATTTTATGCAATCTAATTGGTTAGGGGGGCGTGGCTAGGCCGGTGGATAACGATAACTCACTATTTTCTTAACGCGAATAAGCTATAGCGAGTTCTCTCGCTTCGCTCGCGTGCCTTCCGGTTCGTTTTATTTTTTTTAGCAGAAGCCTAATTCTTTTTCTAAGATAAAGATAAGTTACTTCTTATAACATCAGCTATCTGCCAGTCAAAGTCCAGTCAATATCAGTTCAGCCGTTTCGGATATTAACCGGAACAACCACAGACAGAAACATTTTAAAAAGTGTTTTCTTATAAGTACCATAAATAATTTCATATGCGTTTTGTAAAAAGCTGTTATTTTGACATTACAAAGAGACACTTCAATTTTATTTATCTGTATAAATTTCTATATGCTATCAATTGTCGAAAAAAATATTTATAAAGTTTTGTTTTTGCCAAAATCATATTTACTATACTTATAAAATTATATTTATTAGATTAGCATCTTAGATCTTGATTACACCATGCTTTTAACTATGACAGAAAAATACGTATGAGTGTGACCCATTTTGAGTCATCTTGTATAAAATTAGGTTAGCGTTGTTTTGGCACTACTTCCTTTTGGCATCAACTTCCGAAACATATCTTTACTTTTATAAGCAAAAACAAAGGTTTAATGACATTTTAAAAATTACATTTATTGCTATTTCGTTATACAACGATGTTACTATATATATATATATATATATATATATATATATATATATATATATATATATATATATATATTACGGTTAAGTCTGATTGTAGATTTTTTTATAAACTATAATTATACTTAGTTATAGTTATGTAAATCATAATTCATGTTTGGTTAAATGATTAAAAAAAAGAATTGACTAAAACGACTTAAGTTATTACTGTTTCAACTAACTGTCCCACTGCTGAGTACGGGCCTCCCTTCAATACGAGGCGGATCAGGCCATAGTCCTCCGCACTGGCCAAGTGCGGATTGGTGGACTGAACAATATGTCTTACGAAAATTATTTAATTTCTAAACGGTTATCGGCTATAACTATGACTTAATTTTGTTAAACGCCTTATAATAATTCTCTTAGCATTTACGCAATGTCATGCATTGTTATTGAAGTTGACAGTAAGGTCATGCTTTAAGCAAATCATATAATAAAAAGAGTCGTTAATACTCAACATAATACTTATTATACCTTTCAGGATTATGTAAGGTTTCACATTAATAAAAATATGATATATTGTTGTACATTTTTTGCATGCTAACTTTTTGATGCCGAACAGGAAGTCGCAGTTTATGGATCACGGGTGACGCAATTTATTCTTGCACTATATTTTTGTGATGATTTTGTATAATTTGATGAATTTATATAATATTGTAAAATAATTTTAGAAAATGTAGAGGTTTATTTTATATTTTTGTGTTTTCTTCAGTGATTTAAAACATGACACTTGATAAATTATCTAATATGCTGTAAACATTTATTTCTAACGCTAAATAATGATTTTCCTAATGTAACTTTCTGTTATGCAGGTATTACCCTTATATGGCGGCACCGTACATAAGCTATACCACTCCAGCAGGTCACACACCACCCTGTAAGTATAATATGCTATTAAAATATCAACAACATGCACTTAAATTCATTTATAAAGACATTCTTTGTAATTTTCTTTTAATTTAATTATTTTTTGCTACGTTTTATTACAACAATGGACATTAAAATACATTTACTTATCATAAATATTGAATTAACTAGCGGAACGAAAGCGAAAATCAAAAACAAATCTATCCCACGAGAACCGTACATTTGTCCGATATAAAAAATAGCCTATGTGCTACTCCAGACTATAATCTATGTCTGTGCAAAATTTCAGAAACATCCAGATCAGTTCAGCCGTTCTAACGTGATTGAGTAACAAATCCAAACATCCATCTAAACTTTCACAGTTATAATATTTGTGAGATTTATTAGATATAGAGAACTGAAAATATTCCCAAAATACGTAAAACACTCTTATTGTACACCAATAATGCCGTTTACGCTTGTTTGGGCAATTCCCAGCCAACATTGAAAAATGGATTTTCCTTATATTCTTTAAACATTAATAAATATCTTTTTAGTAATTTAACGCCTGTGCAGATTTATTATGTTACACGTATTATGTTATACGTATATTATAGAAACACAATTTATCTATAACCAATGTATATGTGAAACGAAATGATTCTTTTAGCTTTAGATTTTAGTTACGCTTTCGATACGCAAATAGCTAGATAAAAGGTTTTAAAAGAAAAAACGATGAAATGTGGCTATACGTAATTGTATATAAAGGTAATACCTATTATATGAAAACAGGAATAGGTAACAAAGAAGACTACAATATTACAGTAATCAATAGATCAGAGTAAAATTCGTTAACGCATAGGTCTTCTAGTAAACAAGGGTGATTGATTTAGCCCGTTGCATGAGGAAATTGTTGGTTATATACTTACCTATATTAAAAAGAGCATTGCTCGCGGCTCCGCCTCCGTTCAGATGACCAAAAAGCCAAAATTCTTAGGTTTTACATATAAGTATACTCTTACAATGCATTTTTTGTATTTTTTTACAGTGTATTTTTTCTCAGAATTGAGATATTTTCCCGCAATAAAAAGTATCCTATATGTTGACCCGGATAAGCTATCACCATACCAAATTTCATCAAATTCCCAGTGGTTTTTCTGTGATGCGGTAACAGACAGACAGACAAATAATGTCTATTTCATAAGATTTCCCATAAAATATTTAATGTACAGATTCGGCTTAGTTACAATTTATATGTATAGAAGAAACTTAATTGACTTACAATATGTGAGAGTAAGAAGTTATGGATTATTTATATATGTTATCTATTAAAGTATTTCTCACGATAAAGACTTATCGGACAGGCAAATGTAGCGATCAAAATACTGACGATATCGAGATATTTTTTTAACTGCGACAATTATTTTAAGCCATATGTTATACATTTATTACTAGACTGCGCCAGAAGTAGGGCTATGTTTTTCGAGTGTATGTGTGTATGTTTATTTTTGGCAATCACACCGCACGCCTAAACGACTTGATGGATTTTAGCTTGAGAGGTGTTGTTAGATTCTTGTTATTATTGTAGGAGGTACTTATATTAAAATTATGAAAATTAAAATGGCCGATTTTTGGCGCGTGTTATGTCTTCAAACATTGATTTTCTCAAAACCTATCAGGTGGAGTATCAAAACAAAGGGTTTTTATAAATGGCTTACACTTACAAAAATATGTACAACTGATATAATTTAAACTAGCATTCTCCGCGGCTCCGCCCGCGTTCAGATGACCAAAAAGCAAATTCTTAGGTTTTACATGTTAGTATACTCTTAAAATGCAGCTTCTGTATTTTTTCTCAGAAATGAGATATTTTCCCGCGGTAAAAAGTATCCTATATATTGACCCGGATGACCAGCTATCACCATACCAACTAACACACTGTAATAGTAATAAATGTTACGTGCAATAGGATTTTTTTTTTCTTTGTAACGATATTTATGGCAAGACTATGTATATACAACATTTATATTAACTTTTTATGGCGAATATAATACTAACGACATACCCTCTTGTATATGCGCACATACACACGCGCGCACGCACACATACACACTTTTAAAGCCCTATGAAGAGCTCTTGTGTATGCTGCTGGGATTGATTGTTCAGATGGTTATCCAATTTCAGATTATTACACGTCCAACGGACAGCAGATAGGCGCGGGTAACGTGGGAGGTGCTGGGCGGGGCGGCTCGGGCGCGCTGGTGCCGCAGCAACCGGCCGCGCCCGCCGCCCCCAACGCCCTCCCACACCAGCCCCCGCAGTCCCATATACATCCTATAACTGGTATGTATATATCCTGATCTAAAATATTTTAAATATATTTAACCATTTTTAACGCCCCACTGCTGGGCACGGCCAAGGGAGACTTCACATATTTATCGAAAACTTGCTAGATTCTCTCAGGCATGCTTTCCTCATAGTATTATCGTTCACCATGTTCATATGATCATGTTCAAAATGATTCGTACATGAAAATATCATAGGTGCAATAATCGGTATTTAAACACTTGGTTTCCCAAGGGCCTATTTAGTGAGTAGGTAGGTAGGTCTCGGGTTTGAGTCCCGGGCCGGATCAAGTGTAGTCTGGAATTTCTGTTCAGAAACTGTCAGTAATATCCCGGAGTTTGAAGCTGGCAGTTTTACACCTCGATGCTGAGACAGAGCACTTAAACTGTCGGTCCTGCGCCTGATCTCTCACTCCGGTTGTTATAGCGTTGTTCCGTCGGATTTTGAGAGGAAAAGAAATAGATAATACAATGTGTGGATTGAGCGCTTAATTGTGTACTATAATATCCTCACCGCACGTGACTATTTTGAGTGACAGAAATCGATCAGAAGGACATAATCCTAATTTAGCACCTGGGTTCGAGTCTAGGGTCGGGTTAAATGTAGTTTGGGTTTTATGTCAAGAAATTTTCAGTAACAACTCGGAACTTGCTGGTTTTAAACTGTGGGTAGCTCCGAAATTGCTTATGGTAGTTATGGAAGCAATTTTGATAGAACGGAAACCGCATGATTATATTTAATGAAGTATTTTGTAGCCGTTAGTGTGTAGCTTGTGTGTTAGTAAGTGAAAACTGAAAACAGTCATTTTTAGGGTTCCGTACCTCAAAAGGAAAAAAAGAACCATGATAGGATCACTTCGTTGTCCTTCTGTCTGTCTATCAATACCGTTTTTCTCAGGAACGCGTGGAGGTCTTGGTCAATGTTTTATAGCACAAGTAAAGGGAAAAGTCCGAAAACCATAAAAAACCGTGCCCCAACTACTGAGCCATGCGCGAATAGTTAAAATGTATATACGTTATGAGAAACAAGAGCTGGACCATCAACAAATTGCAGATCTTATTAGCTAATCTTGTATGCGTGAGCTTTTATAACTTGTGAAAGTAACAATATTTGGTCAAGTTTTGGTTGAGGTAAATCGATTTTTATTTACTCAAAACCCAGAAAATTAGTGCAAACTCACTATATAAATTGTGGTCATACTAGATAAATTTTAAATTTTTCAACCGGAGCACCTTCCCGTGGTGACGGTGATAACGACATAATCTTAATATTGTTCGTACATTGGGTGCGTACCCTGGGTGTGTACATTACTGTACTTGCTGTCGGATGTGGTAAACATGTAATTACTATTACACGATATCTAGGCTGTTCTAGGCATTTTGATAAGACAATTAAACCACATCCTAACAAATAAATAGCATATTTATAAGATTTGACAGCTCTGATTATAAAAAAAACTATTTAACAAAAAATAAAAACCGACTTCCAGGCACTAAAAAATGTAAAAAATAACTAAACGGGGGTTTTCATTTAGAATAGACACCTAATCAGATATTTTCGAAGTCGATGCCAGCCGACGCATAGAAAATCTAATATATTTTGATACGTATTTACTAATTAGGTAAATACATATTTACCTATTAGATATTCATATCTTAAAATATTATCCGCTGGCACCGACTTCGAAAATATCTGCTACTTAACTAAATGCTGTTACTTGCTGTTCCCAAAGTTCAATACCGTATGTTCAAACTGGTTTCAATATGGTTTTGTATATTGCCATTTTGTTTTCGTTGGTTAACTTAGACCTTTTACCAATCAGCCAGTACATGCTTCTCAACTTTGAGTCTAAGAGTCTTTCGTTTCTTCCATATATGCTTTTGCCAGGTCAGTCTTCTATCTAAGTGCATGCCGAGGTATTTCGCAGTGTCATCGTGTGAAATTTGTTCTCCGTTTAATACGATTGGGGGACAGTTGCCTTTTCTTAGGATAAAATAGACGTGTACAGATTTGTTTTGGTTCGCCTTTATTCTCCATATCTTTAGACACTTTCCGATATCACCGATGTGTTTCTGACATTATTGCAGACTGACATTATTGCAGTATCGTCTGCACTATGTATATCATCTGTAGGTATGTCAGCAGTAAAGATGAGATACAGCACGGGCCCCAGAATGCTCCACTGAGGTACTTAAGACATGATTTTTATAGTTTGTCTAAGTAGCTTTCTAGAATGGAAAAAAGGAGTGAGGTAGGTATTTCTTTAAATTAAATAGGAGGCCGACCTGCCAGACCCCATCATAAACCTGACCATTGTCCAGGAAGACCGCTGAACAGTATTTTTTGTTTTCAAGCGCATGGCTTATCGTGTTTGTTAACCTATAGACTAGTTCGATGGTACCATGCTGCTGTCTTAATCCGAATCGGTATCCAGGAAGTTTGGTTTCTAAATGAGGATGCATCCTGCTAAGAATTATTTTTTCGAAAAGTTTGCCAACCAAAGGGAGAAGGCTAATTGGACTATAAGATGAGGTTGCTTCTGGTGGTTTGTCAGGTTTAAGAATCATGACAACTTGAGCTGATGCATTGAAGAGACTCACCAAGAACATTATGACTTTTTTTGGAAGATTGTTTAGTAGTTCTGCGTCTAATAAGTCATAGCCTGGTGCTTTCCTTGGTGGTAGACCTTTAATCTCTCGGCTCATCTCTTTAGAACTTACTGCCTTTAAGGTTAAGCATATCTGGTTCGGCGACTGCAGGAAATTGACAATTTCATTATCCTTATCGGGGTCAGGTGCAAAGTAAAGGAATGAAGACATTTGTTAAATATTCGGCGAATACGGTTGCTTCTTCTATTTCAGATCTAGCCTAACCTCTTTAGAGATATTTATCTCTTCGCGAGATATGGTCTTTTTTATATGAATATGTTGGGACATTAACACACAGCGCCATCTAGTTCCATGATAAGCTATGAGGCTTGTGTTATGGGTACCAGATAGTTGATATACTACACATATATAACTTTAAATAAATACATATTATAAATATAAACATCCATCACTGGAGTACAAACGCGACCGCTGGCACAGCAAGTAGGGTCACTACAAACTGAGCCAAACGTGTCGTCATTTTGGTCGCTTGAGGTTTTTGGTTGCGCGCCACAGAGTGTAATTAATGTCCTTGTGTAGGGTGAGGTAAGATAGGTAGGTATCTTTGAAGGATTCTCATATTCTTAGGTCATGTCCTTCAATTCTTTTGAACAGCTCTGCTATAGTCATAGCTTGGTTGCTCTGTTAAAGTTTTGTCCAATGGATATATGGTTCTGTCCAATCCACCGATATACATTTTATTGCTGTTCGCTATATGGCTCAAAACGGGACAATATTCTTTGTAATTACATCACAAAAAATATATTTTTTGCGATTATAAACTTGTTTTAATGTTTTATGCTACGAAACCCTCGGTGTGTGAGTCAGACTCTGACTTGTCCGATTTTCGAAAAGAAAATGACATCACATATGGAATTAAAAAGATCTACTTTTGAAATTAGTCATGTGGGAGATAAATTATTAATTTCTAATAGGTTCGGTTCGGGAATAATAAAAAAAGAGAATTTTTAATAAATTCCTATGGCCTCCTGATTAATTTCGGCCATCTCGGCCAATCTCGAGTGCAAGATATATTAAAGTGCACTCCATGTGTGCGAAAACAAAAGAAATAACATTTTAAAAGGGATATGGTTACTGAGTATTGTTAGGTAACTGTGAGATTGTTTTAGTCATTAGTGAATTTTTTCGAGGGCTATTAAAACATGTTTAATAATGGTCATTATCAAATTGTCTTTAACCCTGTTAATAAGTGTGTATTAAAATTATACAATTGTTAATAATACATACTTATTATAAATGTGAAAGTGTGTTTGTTTGTTTGACCTTCTTTCACGTCGAAACGGAGTAACGAATTAGCGTGATTTTTTGTGTGGAGATAGTTGGAGGGCTGAAGAGTGACATAGGCTACTTTTTATGGCGGGAAATTACTTAATTCCCACGGGAAAACACATTATAATGCAATCCAAAAAATATTTATTATCAGAATTACTGGTAACGTGGTGTATATACTTTTTAATAAAATTAAATAAATATATGTCTTAGCATTTTTCAAAATTCATCCTATAAAATAGGGGATGAAAGTTTGTATAAAACTACCTCTTTAGAGATTTTTTTGTAGTTTTAGCGCGAGATAAGCCACGACTTTTTGTTTCTGTAATATAGGAAGTATCTATTTGTTGGGATGCTCTATATTATAGTAAGCACCCCCACAATTTTTTCTTAAAAAAGTGAGTTTCTATAAAAAAAACTTTTTTTTTTCAGGTATACGTCAAACACCTCCTAAGCGTACTTCCCACAGACTGGCTATTATTAATCCTTTAACGAGTAAGTATATAAAAAGGATAGTTTGCTGTTTAAATGCCATTTATTTACATAAACTATTTTATAAGTATAACACGTAGAGTGAAATATCCTACTCCGTTCTTATTCAACTATGTATGCTAATTTTCATATTTTTTTTGTATCATATTATTGATAATTGATATTGATATATAATTTGGAAAATCTTATTGAAATAGTTATTACTATCGATACCGAGACCTTATCTACAGTTTTTAGAACTTTTGTCTGTCTGTATGTGACCGCATCACGAGAAAACCACTGAACAGATGTTGATGAAATTTGGTACAATGATAGCTAGTTATCCGGGTCAACATATACTACTAATACTGATACTGTTTATTGCGGGATATCTCTGAGATCTATATTATCAAATCTATACTAAACTTTAAAACGTGCGTAGGGACGAACCCGAGCGGAGCGAGGGTGATTCGTAAATTAAATATAAAATAATATATAAAGGGATTTTTTGCTGAATAATTCATCATCACCCAAGTCAAACCGTACTGTACCTAGTACCTTGAAATGTTGGTAGCATGTTCTATATATGTATAATAATTTTGTTATTTCACCTCTAAAGAGTGAAAAAGACTGGCAACCAAACAAAATGTTTATATCGGGTTAAAACAGCACATTAAAGCCAGGATAAGCTACGATTCATTTTATTTACCACGCTACTTTATATTTGTGCTAATTATAATTTTTAATATATGTGTATTTGTTACAGAGCAAGATATATTCTCAGAAATTAATTCTAGTGATAGTCAATACGTTAGTGGTGATTCTAGTGAACGACAAACGCCTCAACCGGTATGAATAATATATATTTTCTTAATATCAAATGATAAACCCATAAGATTAAGACATACCCGTACGTAAATTTTGTTTTTTGAAAGTTCATAATGAGCTTATCCGGTCAATCAATGCCAGTTGCATTTTAATAGCAAAAATGATCATTTTTGTTGGATAGGTTAAGAAGATTTGGTTTATGCAGAAACTATGCAACATATTTTAATGTGAGTTCTTCGATCGACAAATGAACTGCTCAGATATCCTTTATTCAAAAAAAAGACACCTGTATCTATACTCATATTAAAAAAAGGCCGAGTTTGTTTGTTTGTTTAAGCGCTCTAATCTCAGGAACTTCTAATCCGATTTAAAAAATCTTTTTGCATTAAATAGCCCGTTTATTGAGGAAGGATATAGGATATATATCATCCCGGCAAAATGTACGGTTCCCGTGGAAAAGATTTGTTTTAGTCTAGGGTGAGCCGCTAGTTATAAATAAATTTGAAAGTTCATTTTTAAACACTTGAAATATGTTACTAAAGATAATCTAAGAGATGGATGAAAAATTGAGCAGCTCGATCTAAATACTATACTTACATTTTTGTATATTTAATTTATCTGAGTTACTAATAATTGTATTGTGTCCAGGAGCCAGTGCACAATAGTGCCGTCGAAGAGTTCACGAGGAGAGTAAGCGAAGTTGCCAACCAGGCGTCTGCGAGTGATAGTGCTAGTAAATCGAACTTTGTTTCTAAGAATGTAGAAGTGCCTGCTACGACTGCAAGCTCCAATATTCAACCTCATTCAAATGCAATAAGTACTATTAATAATAATATAGTAAAGTCTGAAATATTAAATGATAACGAAAATAAAAACTTAGGAAGTGAAATAGTAGAGTCCAACGAAACGCCGGTAGTTTCCGCTATATCGGACAGTCCTGTCGTAGTGCCTAAAATGCCTATCAATGTTAAGCAAATTCAAAAGAGTATGGAACTGATACAACCTTTACCTGTAGATAATAAGAATTTACCGAATAATAAGCAACAAAAACAAAATAAAAACAAACCAGTTGTGCCTCAAGACGAAATAGAAAAGCAATCAGATAATGTGAATTCTATAGTTCCTCAAACGTTGGCTGTGCAAGCGGTTGTGACGTCGGCCCCTGCACAGTCATCGGCGATATTAGCGTCGCCAGTTAATGTATCGATGTCATCGTCTACACTCTCGACCGCATCTACGAACCCCGTTACGTCTGTGATCGTCCCACCCGCGCCTTCTGCAGCGCCCTCTACGGTTCCTTTAACTTCCGTTTCCGCCCCTGCGCCCCAACCACAGCGAATAAGGGAGCCGAGGGAAAGAATCAGATCGGAAGACAAAGATAAATCCTCAATAGCCAAAGCAAACTTACCAGACAACACCCCTAAACCCAACGGACCCACTTCAGTTGGTAAGTATCTCATAACTATTTACATATTGATTTGTGATCACATCACTGCCTAAAATGTGAGTATCCATAATTTATCATAAGTACCTACCAACCTCTAACTAACTACCTTTTGAGGTTGTGATGTTAGTTAGGATTGATATGTGCTAGTTGCAAGATTTCACAGTTTTCATTACTTGTAACATAAAATTTTCGTTAGAGACATTTCATTACTTACCATACACTGTATCCATAAATTCGGTAAAATAGTGACAGTGTGCCTTTTTACATTATCAGTTGGTTCGATAATTAACCGTTCAGGTCACCTCGTTTAAAAAAATTAAATGCAGTTAACCTAATTTATAAAAATAAATGTTTCCTTTGAGTGTAAATTAATATTTTCAATGTTTAAGACACTTTTCTTCCATGTCCCGTGCGTTTGTTCCACGATGATAGATCGATATGTATCATTATTTGTAAGGTTTCATCGTTTTCTTTAATTGTAAGACGCAATGTTTGTTCGAGAGATTTTATCCTTCCCATAGACCCTATCGGTTAATTCGATAAAATAGTGACGGTGTCCTTTTTTGAATTTTTCTTTGGTTCAATTTCCGGTTCAGGCAAGTTTTTATTTTAAATTAAATGCAGTTATTATTATTTTAAAAAATAAAGAAATGTTTCCTTTGAGTAAATCTTGATAACTTCAATGTTTAAGGTACTTTTCTTCCATTTCCCATCTATTTGTTCCACCTGTATAATATGTACAGGTATAGGTATAGTACATAGGTATCAACAATGAGATTAGAAATTGCGGTTCACTAAGCTTATACTGCTAGCATGTCACGGTTTAAACGACAACAATTCATTTTGGAAAAAGGTTATAGAGTTATTCAATAACAAAATTGTACGGTATATTTAGAAGTAATCTTACGCATTAAGAATGTTACTATGTTTTTTTAAATAAATACCATTAGTAATAATAAAATTTTGTAAGTAAAAATGGCGATAGTTTTTGAGCGAGAAATAAGTGTATTCTTTCTTAGTTGTTTATTATGAGTATTTTAGAAGTGGTTGCATTCAATAGGAGATCTTACTGCGAGTTTTAGTCGTTGGTTGCGCTACAAGCGTAAACAACGTCAAGAGTAGCTTCGAGTGTGTACATATTTATATTATAAACTAGCCACTCATTCTCGCTTCGCTCGAGTTTGTCCCTAGGTTGATTCGCCATACAAACTTTCATCCCCATTTTCACCACCTTAAGGGATGATTTCCGGGATAAAAAGTATCCTATGTCCTTCCCAGGGTCTCAAACTATCTTACCAAATTTCATCTAAATCTGTTCAGTAGAACCAGAGATTACCCCTTACAACGTCACAAACTCACAGTTCACTTTCTTTATAATATTAGTACAGGTAATATTTTTCTTCATCGAGCCTTAATATTGTCCTGAGAGAAATTAAACATTATCATGAATGGCCATCCGAATCTTCAGAGGATAGTGATCGTATAATTTCATCCCTTTTTCTATATTTGCTATTTGAAACAAATTATTGAATTAATATACCAATCAAAATTTAAATTAACATGCAAATCATGAAGCAACGTCGTCGAAAATCTCCGATACAACAGGTATGATTGGGAAATCCACTAAATCATAAATACATATTATTATATAATAAAAGTACAAGTATTAAATATAAGTAATATTCATAAAAATCATACCTTAGCAAATAGTTTTTTATATTAGTTAAAGTTACAGATAGTAAATTTGTATCTGCGTAATATCTATGCGTTGTATCCGCAATCTTTAATTGAGATTGTTCGGGCATACATATATAGAGATTTCGTCACATTGTCTTCTTTCGAAAGATTAGGTTTTACAGAAAAAATATCATATGCAATCAGCCTGAAACGTTGATTTTATATTTTTATATTAAGAAATTCTATTATTTATCATGCAATTAACGTTTTAATCTTTTTTTTTTCAAAGTTTATAATATAATTTATTACCTATTATTGTCATTCTTACCTTTCACTTAAATCTTTTTTTTGCCTTGTAGCGAAGCATCACGAGCTCGCAATATGTTTTGTAATTCAACTACATATAGTTAAAACACTGTATTTTTCCATCTTATATTTGATTTAACATAACTTTTTATTCTTAAAATACTAAATTATTCTTTAATAATAAACCAGTCTGTAAAAATAGGCAAAATTGAGGTTTTCGTTGTATACGTTATGCGCTGGTAGTGCCATCTGAGCTGAGCTTAGCGTAAAACCTCTTGTAGATGCTTTAAATATTATAATATATAGTAATAATCACGTTATAGAGTTCGATTGCTTATCTCAAGATCCAATATCAAGCTATAGTCTGGTCAGCTGTTTAATTATTTTGCAAAGTTACAAAGTCCAATACATATGTACGTATTATACATATGTACCTACATATATATTGACTTTGATTTACTTCAATCCACTAAAGAGTTCCGCCGTCTATCTTCCCATTATCTGTATGCACGAGGTATTTATAGATAAGTATATAAATATAATTAATGATATACATAATATATTAGTTATTTGCACAGTGCTACAAAGATCTATCAATGACAAAATATTATTTTTTACGTTTTAAATTAGTTTATTATTATTATTAAATGTCATTATATCTTGATTACGTTTTGATCAGAAAAATTCGGACGTCCGATCGATGTTATCGGGGACTCATCAGAAGCGGACGTCAAACACATCAGAATTCTGAGAGTATGCGGGGTCTAGACCAAAACATATAAGCAAAGTGCCTTCCGGCGGGCGACAGATAATATCTAATAGAAAAAATCTTATACTATGCGGCCGGCCTTAATCTGCTATACTCACTAGTCTTATTCTACATATTTTAAGTAATATTTAATTGAAGCTTTTAAGAATAGAACTTTTTCTTTATTACAACTTCACAATGTCGCTTATTTGTTTTTATTGATAAATCTCGCTTTAGAAATTTTCTGGGATCCTTTAAAACAAATATTTTGTAAAATATCCTTGGGATATGCTCGTCTGCATGCAGGTATACAAGTTATTATTTATGGATTGAGGCGTCTTGTTAATTTTTTTGGGAAATTCATTAATATTTATAAAAACATATATAATTTTTATAGTTATATGAAAGAAATAACAGCTTCGTGGCGCGTACTATACATGTTCTTGAGAACAAGTGCAATAAGAGAACATAGTATCTGCATTTTAGTTTTCATTTTATTCCAAATTCTAATACATCTAATAATATTTTTCCATACAAGATATAGTCCAATACACTAAAAAGTATAGATTGCCTTTTTGTACTTTATAAAAACCACCACCGCAATCGGGAAAAAGTCCGAAAAACCTGGCCATAAATAGTTGCGTAATAAATACGTCTCATAATTATTTAATAAGGAATAAAAACGTGTTTTGTAAATGAAAATATAAGTATAGTATTAGGCTACTTAATGATATTTATTATTAGAAAATGCAATTAAATGTAATTTAAAACTTATTTGTAGGGCAAAATTTGGGATAGCTTTGACCAACTTTTCAGCTCTTAGTTTCAAGTTCTGTTGTAGAACGTGAAGGACTTTGTTTTATCTCTGGGTATGGAATTTCTGCTGTTTTCAATAAAATTGCGACGCTAAAAAAGATGTTCTCATTGAGTTTTGTTACAAAAGGTAACGATGATTTTTTCAATATTTTATATAGTGCATTTTTCTTTGTTGAGTCCTGCAAAGATAAACAGCAGAGATCTACAGTAAAAATGAAAATAATACGAAAATTAAAAAGTATCAAACTTTTCACATTAAAATATGTCGTCGCAAAAAATAAGACCTTTTTTTTTTAATTTCAATGTTTGATGTTTTATAAAACATTTTATTTTTGGTTGGGCAATCAAATGAAACATATTAAAACTCAAAAAAATGCCAAATCATTTAAAGATTTTGAAACTATTAAAAGGTTTTGTGTAATCCTAAACTTTATGTTTATATATTAATTTATTGTCACTTATGTACCTTCAGTTAGTCTCCATTGTTCAAAGAAATTAAAATTTCACTAGAAAAACGCCATTAGTTTGAAAATTTATTTATCAAAATTAACTGCTTAATTTGCCTAATTACGTATGACGTTCAAAACAACTCACTTTGAACTGGTAATGCACGGGCACATGTCATTCTACATAATTAATAAGAGCAAAATCAAAAAATATAGTTGTCTTTCTCTCTTAGCATAGATTTGTTGGCCGAATTAAGTTCTTTGTAATTACGATAGGTATTAGGCCAGGTTTTTGGAATGTTTTCCCATAGTGGTAGTATTCGATAATAGTGCCGTCATATTACGGGTTTCACCTTGGAATGAGAGATAATAAGCTGTAAACTCGTATACACCTTCTTGTTTTTAAAGTTGTCTGAAGTCTCTTAAAATCTCGTGTCTGCGTCGTCCTTGAATAACTTAATTCAAGGTCAAAGGTCACAAAAATCAGTTTTTCGCGATTATCTCGGTTTCTATAGCTTCAATTATATTGAATGTGATATATTCATTTAATAACACTTACATACTTTGTGTAATTAAAAACTCATTAGATGAAATACTTATTGTATATCCTAATTAATGTTGATTTTAAGTAGAAGTAAAACGAGTAAATACATTGTAATATTATCTTTATTCAGTAGCTATAATATTGTATAATGAAGTAGAAATACATAAATCTTTAATTATTTAAAGAACAAAAGTATTAATTTTCTTCGTCTTTAAATTAAACTATCTTTTTGGATTTTTTCGCGGATTTATTTTGATTTTTGGTTCCCGACGTTTCGAATGCTTTACAGCAATCATGGTCACGGGAGAGACCTTTTAACCTTAGTAGTAAGTAGTAAGAGACCTTTTCTTCTTCTTCTTCTTCATCGTCGTCATCTTCTGGGTATGTGAATGTGTTTCATTTTCATCATCTTCGTTGTCCTAAATAGTTTTTTCCAGGCCTTCCAGAATTTCCGGGTTAAATGCCGTCTCTTCCTCAGAGTCGATTTGTGATGAAACAGTATTGAGGCAAGCTTGTCCACTACACTGGCAAAATTAGCTAAAGTGCATTGCAACATCGATTTTCTGCATCCACAGCGTACACCAAATTCATTTTTACAATTACAAAATAGTATATTCAGTAATTCCTCAGGAGCTAGTGGTAATATTGTTGTTATTGGGCCAGGAGTTTATTTTGCAACACCCAACCTCATTCCTGGGATTGATAATCGTGTCCTGACCATAACAGTGAGTATTGCTGAGCATTGCGGGCTCTGCCCCCTATATAAAAAAAAAATTTTAAACAAAATTTGTCGCAAATTTTATGTTCTATTTTTTTATAATTAATGTTAATATAATTGAAGCTATAAAAACCGAGATAATCGCGAAAAACTGTTTTTGTGACCTATGACCTTGAATAACTTATGGCTCAGACATGGGATTTTATGAAACTTTTGAGACAACTGTTAGAACACCAAAATGAATATGTATACAAGTTTACAGCAATAATATCTCTCATTCCGCGGTTGATCCCTTATTTTTGCTGCACAAGTGACTGCACTTTCCTAAATTTAATCTACCTTTATTTGTAAATTGTGTAATATCGGCGTACAATTGCTACAAAATGTCCTACACCTGTTTTGACTAAGTGTTTTGGAACACAACCACCATGAAGTAAAGTAAGATGCATGTTTTATTCTTTCGTATCTCTAATATGATTGTATTTATTATCAAGGAAAACGGAGCGAATTTAATTTGTTATTTGACCAATATTATTTTTTCAAATTAGTGTTTATCATCAATACGTACAATAAATAATTGCTGCCCTCGTAGTAGTAGTTTCGGGGCTCTTAATTTTATTTCATATGGTACTGGACAGATAATACATTTGATAAAACTCGTTTTTGTAATTTTCTAGCATGATAACCCTAATTTCGTAATCTTAACATTATCAACCAAAATGGTGAAGGATATTGAATTAATCTTACCATAAACAGGTCAACTAGCTGGTACGACGGTATATCTTTACTAACTGTGCTCAATAAAACATTTTGAATAGTTTACATTATCACCATAATCTATCAACTCTACCATTTTTAAAATTAAATTCTTGAGGACCCCAAAATAGTGAACATTTGGCATTTTTCCGTCTATCTCAAATTCAAACGAAATAAAGTGTCATATATTATTTAGAATGTAGATGAACAAATAAACGCACTAGTGATTCTACAAGGGTTCTATTTTTTCATCACGCTCTGATGTGGCTCTTCGTCGGCCGGAACCATGTCGTCGTACAAAGCCACCAATCTCTATGTAACGTTTGTACACTCTCTGGACCGTAGAACGGCTCACAGAAAAAGATTGAGCTACTTGACGTTGACTTTGTCCAGTTTCAAGCAAAGTCACAATTCGAGATGATTCAGCCTTGTATTGTCAGATCCATCTTGCAGTATTTCTAATAATCGCAGATCAAAGAAGAAGTGTCTTGTTCAATAATTGGGACTCAACTAAGCTTCTAAAATAACAAAAAACAGTATTTGTGGCTTCAATCCATATTATGCAAATATTCACTAATTACTGCTAATTGACTATTAATAGTTAAGCGCACACGTGCATTTCCAGGAATTTTATAACTTTTTTGAAGGAAACAAAGGCGTCTAATCTCCTTAATTACCTTTGCGGTATTTTTTTCCACAAAACAATTGTCAACAAAAAATTATGCTTAAATTAAGGGTGGCCCGATTTTTTTGCACGTCAGTGTAGAAAGAGTTAATGTTAAAATCTTTTAATGCAATACAAATATTTAATTAATCTCGAAGGTTGTGAAATAAAAAATGTTATAATAAATATGTAATATTTCTTGATGAACCGATTACTTTACTGGAAGGCGCGAGCAAAACCTTAAACCAGCGATAATATACGAGCGAGAACTATACGTCATTTACCATCACATTTTTAGGCCGGCCGCATTATAAGATTTTTTCTGTCAGAAAATTTCAGACGTCCACAGGAAGGCACTGTGCTCATATGTTTTGGTCTAGACCGCGCACGGTATCAGGATTCTGACGTGTGCTTGACGTCCGCTTCTGATGAGTCATGGGTGCCGCCGATCATAATTTTTCTGATCAGAACGTGGGAGTGCGTGCTCTATACATTTTGTACTCGACCCCACACACTTACCAGAAATTCGAATCAGTTGTCGAGCAGACGCCGCGAACTATAACTCAGTGTCTAGACTCGCTGAAATGAAGTTTCCGATAGGTGTGCGGGGGTGGTACCGGCGTCAGAGATTTTCTAACACAAATCCTAATAATATGTGGCTAACCTTTTTCTCATTTCACTACGTCCTCATAATGCATAGTATATGTTTAAAAGTAAAACCAATAAATTATTGAATATTTTTTATAATGAAAAAAATATCATTTTAATATTTTATTTTCAATTATTTTTGGTTATACATACTTACAATTACTTTTTATTGTTATGGCAGCACTGATAATAATCGACTATAGACAAGAACAGTTCGGATACTTGTCTACATTAAAATTCGGTATTTTAGATTGAGTGAGTCATTACTTGCTGCAAAAATATTTTGGTAAAATATTATACAAAATGTTTCTGAAGTTATAATTAAAATAAACATATTATGTTTTTATAAGGACTGGTGTAAAAACTTAAATAAAAAGACCATTTATTTATTAATAGTATGAAAATAACTTTCGTGTGTCCATTTAATTCTGATTAAAAAACTTTATTTAAAATTTAGGAAACAGTATATATATTTTTAAATTTTATGAACGAGTATTAAAAAACAATTCAACACGATCGATTCAGTACCTGCGCACAACACTAGTTGCACTAGGTCCGAGGTCGCCTGTCCGCATGGAACGATCCAACATGGCGGCTTTTACTTCACAGTCACTTTGAGCATGGCTGCGTTTTAAATAATTTTATCTTTATTACTCGCAACCTTTTTTACAACTTAATGATAGTTTAGCATTTTTAGATTTAAATTTTTATCTAAGTTTTAAAATAAGTAAAGTGATAGAAGTGAAACGAGTGCTAAAATTCATTCTAGATCCTTGAGTGACCTTTTGAATACTTTCTTTTACCATATTGCTGCGTCAACGTAACTATCTGGGCCTCTTGAAGATTTTACGGATTTGCAAACTGTGATATAATCAAGCTAACAGTGCCACATATTTTATTTAGTCTAACATTCACAGGTACAGTGCAAGATAGAACTCCCACGTGGAAATACCTCACGTCTCTATTTATAGATATCGAACTTGGTTCACAAAAATTGATAGATGACATCAAAATTGAGGAAAAAGTCAGGATGTATACGAGTGATTTGTGAAATAATGTAATTTAGTATCCGGGTGCTGTTTAATATCGTCTCATTTTGTTTCCGATATTGCAATTTGTTAGTTTGAACTCTGCCATTTTGCACATATAGCCATATCATATTGTACATTTTAAAGATACTAAAATTTCAGTTACCTAACTAATCACATAGTATATAATCTCGTTCCCATATCAGTGACCTCCATTGCTGACGTGATACTACCTTACAAATATGCAAATAACTTTCGTATGCATGCCCCACAGACATGCATATATGTACCCACAAGACAGCTATAGCTATGTATTTGGGACATTCTATTATTTGTTATAATAATTTAAGTATAATATATGAAAACTTACACAAAATAAATAAAGCATATAAAAGTGAAAGTAAACTAAAGATCAGATAATATTTTTAGAGTATAGTTTATGCACATGGCAGTGACCTCTGTAGATTTAACTTCTGTTTCAATTAACTATTGTGTTGCATTCTTTAAAAATATTTGGAAATTAATATAATATACATTTTTGTTCTATTAACACTTATACATGGATATTTAAAAGGAATGGTAGTTATAAAATAGTTTCTAAGAAAGTATTATGGGAGTGGCTAGTATTAAAATTCTAACCACATTTATGGCTATTTCATATTGTATTTTACATAGTTAATTATTCCTTATTAATGAAATTAAATATGTGTATGACATAATTAGTTAATTATACTTATAACTGAGGCATGATAATTACATAGTTAGAAATAATTATTTAAAATTATTTTACAGAGATTAGTTCAGTTGATAGTTTACTGGACACTATCAATCCTTCAACTAGTCAAGTAAGTCAAATTATTGGGACAGAAATAAAAGAAGAAAAGCAATTGTCAGAAAATCTTGAGACTGAATTACCTAATGTTGACAAGGAGCCTGAGGTTGTGATAAACAGAGAGCCAACATTCCTTGTCAAATCTGCACCCACTGCCACTGAACTTTTATCAGCCAGCATTGAAAAGGTTGCTAAAGAGCAACCAATAAACGAAGTTTCAACAAAAAAAGAAGAATCTAGCGCAATTCAAGCTCAAGCTAAACTTACCCAAAGCATAGCCAGTGTTGCACGAAATCACCCTGAATCTAAAATGAAAGATATTAATCTTAATAATAAGACATCAGGTTTGTAAATTACAATAAATATTGTTCACTATATTAAATTTATTAATTATTTTTCACTTGCACTTTATTATAATAACAATATTTTTTTAGATCCAGATACTGCCAATGGAAACTCCACTGAAGTAAGCAAGGTTGAGACTGTTAAAGATGAAGTAACTAAAAATGATAAAGCAATAAAAAATACAAAGAATAATAATAAGAAATCAAACAAAATGTCAAACAATGAACTAAACATGAACAAAACTGAATCATATGAAAATGGTAAAGAAGAGACTGGTAAAATAAGTAAAGAACAGGAAAATAATATAACTCAAGATGAAGAAAAGCCCGCTGATACTGAAAAGCCTGAGCCTGCATCAGCACCATCTGTATTTGTTCCCAAATATAAATACTCAGATGGTATGTACTAACTTTTAATTTTATAATATAATGTTCATATAGAGAATAAGCAATTTGGTTATACTTTAAGAATAAATCAAAACAACTTTATTTTCAGATCAATGGTCCCCATTGAATAAATCTGGCAAGAAATATTATGATATTGGGCTTCTTATGCAAATAAAAGATGATCCTCTTTCTAAGAATAAACCTAATGCTCCATTATTGGAAAGCTGCAATGTTATAAAGGTTTGAACTTTTTTCGAATTTACTTTATGTTTAGTTGAAGCAAATATTTATGATTTTTCTGTATCATTTCAGTCACCCATTCAGGAAACAATGACATTCAATCCTATTTCAAGACCTATGAATGATTCTCTTTTCCCAACTTTCTTGAAAAATTCTGGATCTGTTAGGAGTAATACACCAAGAGAGCCTAAGAAGGAAGGAAGACTCATGCCTCAAGGTGGTGAGTGAATTTACTAAAAATATGAAAAACATCCTTGTATTTTTTTCAAGTGTCTAATAGAAATATTATTCTACCAGGCAAAGGTAGTGTGAAGCTGCCATCTTCTAGCAGTTCCCACAAAAATGTCATCCATGTATCTCTATCCCTGAGAGAAGATGTAAAACTTAACCAAACAAAGGATGCTTGGAGACCTACAAGATTTAAGAAGGAAACCTTAACTGAAGAAGAATTTAAAACACAGGTATGTTTTAGTACAAAAACTTTATTAACCATTTACTACAACTAAAAAAAATCTCATATCTAATACACTATATTCTTCTTTACAGGATTTGTACAAGAAATTCCGTGGTATATTAAACAAACTTACACCACAAAAATTCGATACATTATTAGATAAAGTAAAATCTTTGGAAATCACCACTCAAAGTCGATTAGAAGGTGTCATTGATTTGGTCTTTGAAAAAGCTATTGATGAACCAAAATTCTCAGAAGCCTATGCTGCTATGTGCAGCAAACTTTCAATGTTGAAGGTGAAGGAATATCTGATAATTACAGTTATATAGTCTTGCATAAATTTCAATTTTTAACATTTACTTTGTTGATAGGTACCAGCTAACAATGCGCCAGATCAGTGTGTAAATTTCCGAGCATTAATTATCAGCAAGTGTCAAAATCAGTTTATTACAGACAAAGTAGATGAGCACATCTTAAAATTGGAAAAAGATTTAAATGAATGCAGTGATCCTGTAAGTAACTATTATATTATCCAAACACAATTTTACAGTTTTCTTTAAAAAACATTAAATAATGATGCAATGACTATTTTAGGCGAAAAAGAAAGAATTGCAACTATTACTCGAAGAAGAGAGCAGACGTGTCAGAATGAGATCTGTTGGAAATGTCAGATTCATAGGTAAATTTCTTTTACTTTATAATTGTTCATATAAATTTATAAAGAAGCACTTATTTATATTTTTAGCAATGCGATAAGAGCAAGATATTTTTTTCTTTTCATATGATATATTTTGTAGAGTCTGGATTATATGCTATGTGTACAATGCGCTATGCGAATAACATATATTCGCGACATACATAATTAGGCCATACTGTGTTTCCAACATGGCGGTCGAGCGGCTGGTATCACGCGAACGTATATTCTGACTCTAGGTCACAGCTTTACCTCACTAATTTATAACTAACCTTCAGTGCACTTTTATTCTGTGATTCATTTATCTCAAATCATCAATATTATATACATACACCCTATGAACAATAATTAAGCAATTGTATAATAACAAGCGACTCGCTCTCGGTGCGCTCGGATTCGCCCCTAGTTACATTATAACGTTTAGTAAAGATTTCTCAGAGATGATATATTTTCCCACAGTAAAATATAATAATACTATATGTTGACCCGGATAACCAGCTATCATCAACCCAAATCTGTTCAGTGGTTTTCTCGTGATGCAGTCACAGACAGAAAAAAATAAATTCTAAACGATAGATTTGCCTCTGTATCGATAATAATAACTATTTCAATAAGATTTTCCAAAAAACGTTTGATGTACATAGATTTACCTCTAGAATTTTATATATTTATAGATAAGATTACATGCATTTAAAGATTTTTACTAAAACATTTTTACTATTTTGAAATTATTTTGTCCCATATTGGCTGATTATTACTGCAACTATCAATGAGCGAAATTTGCAACTTAATTTTTTTCTCTATATTTTATTACTCATTCTATCTTTAAAAATATAATATGCAAAATTCATCTAACATCAAAACAGATTTGATGTTTATTGTACACTTATATTACTTTATCAAATTATACCACATTATTATGTAAAAATATTTTTAAATACCAAGAGCGAATTTGTATTTTAATAGAAGGAACCTATTACCACATAATGTAAAATTTTAAATTTTAACATTTAAAATAATCATAATTATAACTTCAACAGTATGTAAGCTTTTAACCTACTCTGACCTACAATAAATGTTTTATGCTGATGCTGTGTATTATACTTAGTAGTTTTATAAATATTCAATAAAGTAATAAGAAAATAATTCAGGCTTTTATTTTATTTCTTAGGTGAGCTGTATAAATTAAAAATGCTGACATCGAAAATTATGGTCTACTGCATGACTTACTTGATAGAGAAACCAGAGGAAGAGAAACTAGAATGTCTTTGCAAATTACTCACTACCATCGGCGAACAAGTCGAAAGTGAAGTAAAGGAGCAATTGGAGATTGTTTTCAAGAAGATGCAAGATATTGTTGACCGCAAATCAAACAAGATCAGCAGTAGAGTGCGGTATATGATACAGGATGTCATTGACCTCAAGAGAAGAAAATGGGTAGCTAAGAATGTTGTGGACTCACAGCCTAAGATGATGGATCAAATTCAGAAAGAGGCAGAACAGCATCAAAGAAATATTGAGGTCTGTATTTGGTAGACTAGCTCCGTTTTAAATATAGTAAATATATAAGTAGTTTAAAGATTTAATTTTGATAATTATAACATGACATGATTGTATGTTCAGCTGATGAACTCAAATCCAATGGGTGGTGGAGGATTCCGTCGAGAAGATGGCGGTCGCGGTAAGCGCGGTGGTGAGAGACGTCAGGGCTCCAACTCATTTATGGATAATCAGTGGAAGGCCCCACGCCCTACTAACTACACTGTTGATACCTCCAAATTCAAGGCTGTAACTCAAAAGGTAAGGTTATATGTGGATTGGGTATTAATTTTGTACCTTGATTTAGTTTTAACAAATATAAAAAGTTAATGTGCCAAATCCATTACAACATGTAAAGCTTATAAAAATATTATTTTATTAGTAAAAGATAGTGAAGTAATACTTTTTTAGATTTGATAACATATCTTTTCTTTAGTTAAAAACTAAAATTCCCATATACATTGAATAAACAAATAAGGAAAAACTCTTCAACATGTGGAATGATCACTGTTTAAACATAATAGAATACAGATAATAATTGTCTTACTCTTTATTCCTATTTTTCCTATTGCATAAAATTAAAATATGTTACATTACTATATTTTTTTTGTTTTATATGAAAAGGGTACATGCAAAGAACAGGGAATATCACATTTTTTTTATACTGGTAACAAATCCATGTCTATGGTACTTGCATTCCTACTCACTGGTTTTTAATACTCAACAGATGTTGCTAAAAATACGTTTTTATCTATGTACAAAGTAAAAGAATGTCTGTAACATGAAATGACCGGTAAAGAAGGATAGTCCAAAAATGAACATAGTCAAAAGTTACTGCTTTTTTCTTATAATCTATTTATTATATATATCATTCCTTGTTCTTTGCCTGTATCCTTAAAATGCAATTTTGCTTAACCTGTCAACAACTGCCGAGCCACAAGTTTCTCGGTTAACAATTAATTTCATAGAATTTAACTGTGAGCAGTATAAAATATATTTTATACTGGTGTTACAGAATCAATTGTAATATTCATACCATCATTTTTTTTAAATTTAATATTTATATCATGATTGATTTTGTAGTATTTTTGTTAATTTATGTATTTTTTTTTCTTTTTGCATAAATATAACAGAATAACTAAACTATAATATTAAATCAATACCTTACATAAACTAACTTACCGCCACTATCTATGCTTAAATAATGACAAAATAACTAAATAAATATTAGACTTATTTATGTTTTTATATGACTTATTTCCAGAGTCTTAGTAATATTAAATTGGCTCCACAAAACTTGGGATGGAACCATGGCTCAGGAACAAAGACTCCAGCACAGACAAGCAGCAATTCAATGATTAGTATTTCTAAAAACATGTATAGTGTTTTAGAAAATGCTCAAGCTGATCCAACATCACTTAGAAGTAAGTATTGCACTTATGGAAATATGTAGTATAACTAACTTATATAGACTATTATTACCCATTTATAACCATGCTCTCGTGGTCCATTTATAATTCAGTAAATATGTACTGTAATTTTAGTATAGCTGCATTTCTATAGATTTTATCATCATGTATTGTATTTACTGTTGCTGGTGCAAATTAGTATTTTTTGTATGATAGCATTACTTTTAAAAATGTATATGTAATGGGTATAGTCATTACATCATTGCAATTCAATTTTAGCAAACAAGGACTTAACACCAAGTTATCAACATTCTAAGTCAATTGAGAGATCGACTTTCAATTCCAGAGCTGACTTCAGTGAGTGCTATAATTATTATTTGCTTAATTTAGTCCCAAGAAATGAACCAAGCCAACATTTGAAATTCGCTTTTATAAAGGCACAAGTTATACAAAGGATTGATTGCATATCAATCCATCATGCAAAATAAATATTTAGAATAGCTCTGTTAATAGTTTTCTATATGATAATATTTTGATTGGATGATACAGATAGCGGTAGCGGCAGTCGCTCAGGTTCAATGGGTATGACTCGATCGAACTCGAGTAGTAGAAGTCCTAACGCCGCGCAGACGCCCGCGCCTGAGGCCACGCCCTCCGCGCCCGTGACCCAAGAGCCACTACCCGAATCAAAGAAGAAATCCGTCAAGACGCTCATTATGGACAAACTTGTCAATCCCAACGATGAAGAACTGGTGTCTGAAATCAAACAAACCTTCCCTCCACAGTATCATGCCGCAGTAGTGACTGAAATTCTTAATGTTGCACTAGAAAAGTAAGTTAATTCAAATCCTATAGTGCTATACTTACTTTTAAAGACTTTTGTAATTGTTTGCGTAATTAATATTAAATAATATTTACACAGATCAGCAAAAGAAACTTACGCAATTGCTAAAGCACTTCATCACCTGGTATCGACAGGGACAATATCATCTGACAATTTCTTGATGGGCATGAATGAAATTCTGGAGTTTGCACCCGATCTATACATAGATATTCCTATGTTATATGACTATTTAGGAAAGTTTATAGCGCCACATATAGAGAAGAGGGTATGTCATACAATAATTATTTATTAGGCACAGAAACAGATAACAAAAAAATACAATATATTAAAGTATGGCAATAGATTAAGGTATTGTCCACAACGGTTTGTTTTAATAATTAATATCAAGCTAAAACTTTGTGAGTATCAAAATGAATTTTGGCGAGACGCCCAACTATTCTTTCCACGAGAATTTGATAGTGGTAGATACAATTGTGGCTTCATATGAAACATTTCAAAATGGTGATAGTCTAAAATTTATTACTAACAGGTTGTTTTAGTGATTCCAACATTAAACAAGAAAAAATGTTGTCCTAAAGACAGATGGTTTAGATCAAATAGACCTTTCCGAACTTGCTAAAATAACAATGTTATAAAATTTATTAATAACCAGCTCATTTTCATAGTATTTATTATTAAAAATATGCATAATTGAATGATCAAATAGGCCTACAAATAAAGTGGTGGGATTTCTAAGTCCTACGCTCCAATTTTGTCGCCCCCTGTAGTGTTACTTTTTTCATTAATAGTCTTCCTATATTTTAATATGTTGTTTTTCTTTTTAGCATATCACATTTGTACAGATATTTAGGTTGGGTGAACAGATTATAAAAGCAAACCACGGGCACATGTTCTTAAAAACAATAATAAGAGAACTAAAGGAGAGCATGGGACCATTCTTTGTCAAAACAAAATGGCAAGAGTCCGAGCTTGAGTTGAAGCAATGGATGGATGAGGATCAGGTACGTTTTTATTATTACACTATGAAAATAAGTATATTTTAGTATTCATTACGATAATATAACAATGAATGGATTATAGATTCCCAAATGGATAGAGGACAACAAGTTTGAATTTTTGGAAGGTGGAAATGCCAGTGAAGATACTAAAAAGATATTGACACCTGTAGAAACTCAACGCAAACTTCTGCAGCTTATGAATGCCGATGAGAACTATGAATGTATACGAGGTTGGGTGCAGGTAAATTATATATATGAATTAAATCAAAATATGACATTATTCTGTTGTACAAGGTTACATAATAATCATGTTAAATTATGGAAAATATAAATAGAGCTAGCTAGTTAGCAAACCATGAGCCATGTCAACTTTACACACTAACTTGTATATCGTTTTCCAAGATTTGATTACATAGCTAAAACTAAAGATAACAAAATCGCGTTAATTTCGTATAGGACAACCTCGGCGCATCGTCTAACGAAGATTGGTTTATGCGAGCGCTTATTCAAGCGATATGCGAGCACGCACTCTACGGCAACGAGGGTCGCGACGTGCCACACTTTAGTCACGAGCGCATGAATAAGTTCGCTTCTCTTATCAACGACTTTGGCGAAACACGCGAAGAGCGTGAAGCGAGCTGCCTCTTTGGCATACAACAGCTAATACACAGACTGGAACATCCACAAGGTAAACTATTCAGAATAGGTTCACCAATATCCATACTAAAATTTATGTGAAAGTGTGTTTGTTTGTACTTCTTTAAAGTCGAAACAGAGTGACGGATTGGCGTGATTTGTGTGGAGTTAGAGGGCTGGACAATGATATAGACTAACTTTTCACGGCGGGAGGGTGGGTATCTAATTTCCACGGGAAAACACGTTATAATACAACCCATAATACCTATGTATAGTAATATACATCATCTATACTAATATTATAATATTATAAAGTAAAGTTTGTGAATTTGTGACGTTGTAGGGAGTAATCTTTGGATCTACTGAACCGATTTAGATAAAATTTGGTAAGAAGATAGTTTGAGACCCTGGGAAGGACAAAGGATACTTTTTATCCTGGAAATCATACCTTAATGGGGTGAAAATGGGGATGAAAGTTTGTATTGGGGAGCAAGCTAGGGACAAACCTGAGCAAAGTGAGGGTGAGTCGCTAGTGTCTGTGTATATCTATCTATTCCATAGTAACCATTAAAACGTACCTAGGGAACGAAGCAGAGCGAAGCGAGAGTGAGTCGTGAGTATATCCATATATAAATACATAAATAGCCAAAGACAGCAGTTTTTCATCGTAATGTGTGTCAACTGTTTTTTTAATACTAATATTTTCATTTTTCTGTTACAGGACTGACATTAGAGATATTCCAATACCTACATGAACAATATATAATTAGTGTTGAAGGATTTATAGCGTGGGAAATATCTGAAAAAGAGCCTGAAGGAAAAGGTATATATGAAACTTTTTTTTTTTAACAAAAATGGTCTTACATAGTATGTATACCACAGTGATAATATATATTATGTTGCAGCGGTAATGCTAAAGGCGCTGACGTCATTCTTCACAAACATCAAGGAGGCAGATAACGAAGAGTCTTGCAGCGAGGACTGACACGTCGCACGTGCAGTGCACGCCGCAGCCGTGGCGCGCGCCGCTGTCGTCACCGCCGCCCGCAACGACCACAGACCCCCCTCCATCCTATATATTTTTATATACTAGACTACTAACCCGCCCCTTCCCATACACATTCCTGTCACTCCATCCCTCCCTCTCTCCTTGCCCACTCGCCCCCAACCCCACCCTTGTCTTACCTATGAACTTAGAATATATTTTAATGCTTATACTTAACGAGCTAGATAATGTTGTATAATATTTGTTATGCTATAGTTATTTATCGAAGTCTACATTTTAATTTGCTTCGATGTAATGTTTATTGATTGGTACGTTGGAATAGTCGAAAGTGGTCGAACAATATCTTGATACGGGAATTGTGGGAAATTTATAGGTCTTGTATTCTTATAAATTATAAAAAAATGTAAAAAAAAGTCTATTTCTCGAGTCGAAGCGGGCACCTTGAAGAATGATCACATATTATGAAGTGACTGGCCGGTTGGTTGGTTCCCGGTTCGACTTGACACGTCATCAACATCTCACAGGTTCAAGATATTGAGCGTAGACAGCGTAGTTATCGCCCGGCCGGCTGATGGGAGGGGTCCCATTGTTCAGGTCCGCTTGCAGTTTGTCAATGGGTTTTGACCCGTAATTATTATAATCGCGATTAGGTTGTATATGTAATATTAAAATTATTATATGTATTTCCAATACGGTGATTTATACATATGACTGCAAAGTAATTATAGTTATATTTACATGAAGAATGTCTGCATGGGCAAGGACTGTATATTTGTGCTCATTATCGGTTATTCAAGTCGTCCCGCGCGGCTATTAAAGTAATATACTAAAAATAATTTAGTTATAATTTATTTTGATATATATATAAAATTATGTATGAATTTGTTATTAAATTCAAATGTTCACAGGCCCCCGGCGTGGCCGGCCGCCACATGTTCTCTAGGTACAAACCCACGTTACGTAGTTACAGTAATTATAACAGCGATCCACGGCGATTATTAGATATACAGATTGCTATAGATAAATTTTATATACATATATAAAATAAGAACGTTTTCGGGGAAATGAAATAGCGCGTTGTTAGCCGCCGCGCAAGGCGCGGTTTGCGGCGGCGCCTAGCAAAAGGCAGTGGCTGCAAGCGATACTGCGCGGACAAACGAGTTCAATGAGAGATGTTGAAAGATTTTATTATATTTAAAATATTGTATATCGATTTGTTTTCATTTTATATAGATATAGACGGCTAATTTTTTAAACTGATATTAAGAAAGATGTAAAAAATATATATTTAGATTTGCATGCAGTTTAAATGATTTTAACGGTTGCGGTCTCCATCTGGGCTACTTATATACGACGGACAGAGTTGTCTGTAACGAGAACACCAAATTAAGCGCTCTCGATCGATTCGCAGTGATATCTCGTAGATCCCTCGACAATAACACGTTCACAACAGTTGATTAATGCTAGACTGAGGAAACGGTAGTTTGTTAGGACCTTCACGCGCTCCCTCTCTTCCCTACAGCTCGCCTTCCTCCATCCTTCCGAACTTTCATCAGCTCATCGAGAGTGTGAGTAAAAACGCCTCACGTTGGATGTATCATGGAGTCTAAATGTTTATTTTAGAATTTTTTTTTTTGCTTTGTTAAGATTATTTGTTATCACCGAAACCTTCAGTTTGCACGCGACTAGTAATGTAATTTAAAGTTTTACTTCTTTTTAATTACTTTTAACATTTTACTATAATTTTGTTATAATATCTCAGTTAGCTGCTACCATTGTCTCAAATCTGTGGTGATCCGGCGAGTCGCGCCCGCACCCCCTCCTTCCGCTGCTGAGTTTATTTTAATTATTTTAGCTATCCTTGTCAGTTAATATGTATGTTATGTAAATAAACTTTATATGAAGAAATATAATCTTTATTTATTACTTTCCTCTTGTTATTGTATTCTAACATACCCATAAAACTAAATGAAAACACGATATTTTTGTGTTAGTTGTTGTATTTTTATCATACATTATTATTTAAAAAAAATATGTGATCTCTGTCGGATATATTCTCGGATTCAGTTTATCATAGCTGTTAAGTTAATAAATTTAATTATGTATTTTTTACATTGGTTTTGTGTACTGTTAATATTTAAGGAATATTTAACGGGTTTATCCTTTATAAATATCAAGGAAAAAATTGATGTTATAAAGTTGCATTATAGGCTTAAATTCTTCTATAAGTACATTTGCGGTATTGCGCCAGTAATTTCTTTTATCTGCACGATCTTGAATATGTATATTTAGATGTTTTAATTCTATATGAAGTAAAAAATATTAAAATTAACTGTAAACATAACGATATTTAATATTATTATATACTGAAGAGTAATCGTGTACTTGAATAATTGAATAGAACGTTCGCTTTTCTCTATTCGAAGTGTTAAAATAATTATCAATCAAGCATAGTTTTTGTTTTACTCACTGTCGCAAACTCCACAAGCGACGATTAACAGGGCGTTGCGCAGGTCTGTAGCGTTGACCCTACCGATATAAGTTAGTCGAGTCAAATGTGGCATAATTTGTACTACTCGCTGTATCGGTAGTGTTGCGGTTCGCCATTGGTGTATACTTAATGTTACTGCAAAAATAATAATTTTTAACAAAGACTGTTTAATATATTTTCGATGACATAATCTTAATACATAGACATACATGTTGGTTTGGTACCTATTATTTATAAGAATAGTATAGAACATTTTAATAGCGGATAAGAAAAACGCTTACAATTTATTATCTGCATGTTTGGTGTTGCCTAGTGCTGATAACGTTTGTTATGTAAGTAATAATTAATATATAAAAAAAATACATTAGTATTAAATTTTTTATAACTTATCCAACCAAGATTAGCGGCGTAGTGATAAGCGAGCACGCGCATGAAACAGCTGATGTCGGAATCTTGTCGTTGTGCAATACTTAAGTCAACTCCGTGTTCCAAGTGAACTTCCCGTAGTGGCATGCTAGGTGTAAGGAATCTCCGAATATTATCATATTCACGTATCCGAACTGAGAACATATTATATTATACTTGTTTGTATTTCATGTACGTACGTATGTACTATGTATTTATATGTAATAAAATAGTAAATAGCGATAAAAATATGGCGTTGACGCGAATATTTTTCACTTTTTATTCTGTAATACCGTTAAAAATTGCTGTAACGTAAAAGCAATTTAGATTTTATATTTTGCATTATATGTATTGTAATAATAATATATAATATAATTTAAAACTTAGATTTATTTCAAAATTTATAACGAGCACTGAAGAATTTATTCATATAACTTATTTGATCCTAAGTAAATTATTTAATTACTTACAAAAAGCCATAAATAAATAGAGATCTGGACAGGCGATAGAGACGCGTCTCCAAGCGGTATCGGGGACCTCGTGTCCACCGACGCCTAATTCTGCGTTTGCGCGACCTGGCGTTTGGTCTTCGCGGCAAATAAGCTATAAAATTTTATATTTTACTAGTGACTTGACCTCGCTTTGCTCGAATGCGTACTAACTACTTTTTAAATAGATAAAAATAGTTTTGCGAGTGTACCTTAAGATATAGACATACTTAATATACTATTGCGGACTTTTCTGTAGGCCTCTTTAAAAAATATTTCATGTACAGATTTCGCTTTGTTATTAGCTAAAGTTTTATTTCATTTATTTGATAAAATAGTCACTAGAGTATACCTACTATTATTGTACAAAGGTTGCTCAAATTCGGTCCAGTAGTTTTTGTATGAAACGAAAACAAACTAACACACAGATATATTTTAAAAAACAAAAGACATAATGTTCGGACACGACGAAATGTGTCTGCTTTTTAGTAAAAAGCGCGGTCCTTGAGACCTGAAGGAGAGGGTTATATTTTTCGATAGTTATATTATTCGAAGGTTAGGTTAGTAGAGGGTATTCTAAATATAATAGAACATTACGATACGTATTACATTATTGCATGGCTTAACTTTGGGTCCGAGGCCTTAATAAATTGTATTAAAAGATTACAGATATAAGCTAAATGTGTGAATAAATTAGTCATTTATTTTTATATTTTTCTGAGGCGATTCAACAAATTTTATCGATAAACGTTTATTTCTTTTAGATATGTAAATAGTGAAAGTACATACATACATAAGCTTTTTTAGGGCACGCTATATAAAACTTATTTCAGGATATAAAGAAGACTGAAGCTTTAAAGTTACAACCCTCCCATAATTAATTTACTACGACTATTTCTGTTTATTTTCCGTTAATCCTTCTTGTACTTCGAAATCCGATTACGAAATCATCGTATATATACAAAAAAAATTAAGTTTATAAAATCTAACTACATGTAATAAGTTTTTTAAATATTCTATTTTTTATTAATACTATATAATATACTAGCGCCTCCCCCTTGATCCGCTCGGGTTCGTCGTAGTTACGTTTTAACGTTAAGTATAGATAGAGAGAGTAGATTCTCAGAGATGAGAAAGTATCCTATATATATGTTGACCCGGAGCTATCATCATAACATTAATTAATGTAATATGTTTTCGATCAAGAAAATAATTATAAAAAAGTACAAATATAGGTGAGAAATTAAAAGTAGTTAAAACGCACGCTATTAGTCAGACCGAATATGACGTCAAAATATTATAATAACAGTGATAAGCGATTTTGTCGCTACAAACTAAAATCTTAATTTTTCTATGGATGTTAAACTTTACTAACAAAAATTAGCACTTTAAAGTTTAATATTTACCAAACGGTTAATCAAAATTTGTTTTCACAAACCCGCAATATTTTTGGAAGTATCTATCCAGCGACACCCTACACTTACTCACAAGTGGGAGGCGAGAATAAAAAAAGCAGTCATGAGGACTGCCGACAGAAGTGAAAACTTACTATAAACAAACAGTTGTTATTTTTGGATATTGTGGCTACCTAATATATACATATAACCATGACAAATTACAGCTTTCTAGAATTAAAAGTCTCAGCTAAGCTGCGGACGGGCATTCTGAAAACGGGTGTTAGAGGAAGGAACTAAGGAACCCTAAAAATATGATCTTAAATCTTAGTAAATTATTTCGATGGGTCGGAAAGTGTTATAACTTTAGTCACCCGAGGTTTCTTTCATATCTTCAAAGTATTCTTATTTAAATTCATCCCGCGTTTAACATACTAAGCTTGTGCCATAAATTATTTTATTTAGTTACCTAATTGAAAACTGAAACAACACGAAGTCCTAGTATTTACTATTTTAAATAAATATAGCTTGCCTGTAAGCGAAAGTGCGGTCGTCGTAATACTGGCAGCAGAGATAATAATGCATAGCCAGAGCCATCTGCTATGTGAGCGTATTCTAATGCTAGAATTCGTAGATTTTTTAGCTCCGCCAAACTTCTTAGGAAGCACTGCTTTGTCTCTGGTCTTCTGATATATTGTCCACTTCCTTTCCCGAATAAATAAGCTGATTAGTCAATTTTTATTTTAAAGATTTTTAGTTTTTATTATTCTCGTATCTTAAAATGGGTAATTTTTTGAACAAAATACAGTCAATTGAAAATAACTTTATAAATATTATTATTATTCAACCCTTAATTTTCTCAGTAAGCCTTTGATTTACAATTTAAAAAAAAAACAGAATCCGATCGATAAAATCGTTTCAAATAAGATGTTCAAATATGATGTGAAAATCGTTTCAAATAACATGTAGCTTCATCACATAACAAAAATAAACCCAAATTATGTCTGTTAAAAAGAATGAAAATTGTGACAAGGATTATAAATAGCACAGTCTGGTGTTTGTTTTTACACCCAAAAAATTCTCATTAAAGGCAGAAAAAAGGGAGCATCCCAATTCCCAATAGTTCCGAGTCCCGAGGGGTTGCATAAACATTATGAAATATATATTGAAGGTGTTCCATAAATAATGACGATTAGAAGTTAAGGAAAGAATTTAATAAAAACTTAAAAAAAAAACCGACTTCCAGGCACTAAAATGTAAAAAATAACTAAACGGGGGTTTTCATTTAGAATAGATAGGTACCTAATCAGATGTTTTCGAAGTCGATGCCAGCCCATGCAAAGCAAATCTAATATATTTTGATACGTATAGTCTATATTTACCTATTACATAGATATTTATATCTTAAAATATTATAGGCTGGCACCGACTTCGAAAATATCTGATTAGGTATCTATTCTAAATGAAAACCCCCGTTTAGTTATTTTTTACATTTTAGTGCCTGGAAGTCGGTTTTTTTTAAGTTTTTATTTTTCCATTTTTAGTGTAGACGTAATAAGCAGGTAATTTGTAAGAAGAAAGTTTTTTAAAAACCGCTCGACCGATTTCGATAAAATTTCTATGGGACCACCACCTGTGAAGTTATACCTTTTGAATCAAAAAAAATTCCAAATCGGTTCAGGCGTCTTCGAGTAATCGGTGAATATACATAAAAAAAGATTCCGATAAATTGAGAACCTCTTCATTTTTGGAAGTCGGTTAAAAATGAAATGAAGGACTTTTAACTAACTAGTCTTTGCCCAGTGCCTAGTCGAAATAAGGTGGACATAAAGGTGCAAAAAGTTCCATCAATGGATCTTTACGATGAATTTGAGGATTTATTGATTAGTTTGAGAATGTATAAGAATTTATATTTTTTCCACTTTTTGACATACGTTCATTATATTATATCTGAGTATATATAAACTTTTGTGTGTATTTACAATACAACACAGTTCAGTACCATTATAATAAAAAATATATTGATAAAAACAGTTACTAAAAAAAATAGGATAACAATTGATAAAGTGAGGAGAAAGAGGTATTATTGAACTGTTTAAAGTATTCATTAATTTATTTTTTTAACTTTACTCATTGCCTATTTAGTCGAATTATGACGTCTGATGTTATATGAGAGTTTAGTAATAAAAAATATAGTTTTTGGAGTAGTCATAGAATCAAGTCCAAAATTTTGAATTTGAATTTTTCTTCAAATGTTACAATATACTTAATTAAATGATGATCTTTAGAGAGACTAAACAATGCGCGTATTCCTCGCTCGAGTCAACTGCCCAGTTTTACTAACTGTATCTAACTTATTAACTGACTAGATGATTAACTTAATCTAATTAGATGAATATGTAAAGTAGATATTAAGGGCAGTGTATTTGATATTTGGCATGTGCTAATGGAAGGTTGGTTTCCAGTCGTAGTTTTAATCTTATCAATATACCATACGTTAGTGGGCCGAGACGAGGTTCATCTTCAAGATTTAAGTAGCCAATAGGAAACCATTGATTCTATAGTTGCTCTTTATTTTAATTTTAATTCTTTATCTTTTATTTCATATTTATATTTAACTACAACGGTATTTACATAATTTTATTAATTTTGTTTTCAGTAATGTTACAGTACCGAAATTCGAGTAACTTTCAATTTTTTACAGAACTTTGTGGTTCCTTTTTTTGTATTAATAGTTACGAGATTCTCAACGATATACATATGTTATTAAAAATAACATAAATCGTTCACTATCACTAAAAATGTCAATATGAATAATTGATTATTAATAACGAGACCAAAAATGGATAGATGACAAAGAGACATTATGTATGGGACACCTCACAATTATTGTTCAAATCCACATGACTGTATGTTTAACTGTTTCTCTCGGCACAATGCGTAAAGAATAAGACTAGCCTACCATATTCAACGATTCATAATAATTATAAGCTTTTGTATTTTAATATATTTATTGTATTTTAATAAAAGTTACAATCATTTTGTGGACTCAATTTCTACACTAGTTGGAGAGGGTGTATCAAATGTGTCAGTCTCCGGTAATATTGCAGTTGCGGTCGAATTAGGAATACTTTTATATTGAAAATTAGGTAAATTCCTCATGGCTTCATCAACAGTCTCCCTTAAGCGATCGGCTCCGACCGGCGGCGCTCCTCGGGCCTTCTCTCGACACTCGGCTATCAAATCGTTCATTTTCTCCTCTTCCATCGGTGTAATAGCTAACGAAGCTCTATCTTTATGTTGTTGGAGTTCTATATCAATACGAAAAAGTTTTTCTCTATTAGAGTTTGTGCGCCAGGGTCGTTTGGGGTCTGCAGCATTTAATTTTAGGCCCGTATTTATAAGCTTCTTTTCCCTTTAATTTATAATATTATTATTTTTTAAAGTAAATTTGAATTAAATTGCACAGTCTCTATCAAGTAATATTGAAATAAAAAGAAAATATGCACCATACCATTTCCTTTCTGTTACAAGTTCTTTTAGCTTTCTCTCGTTTGCTTCTAGAGGTGCCCTATCGGGAATATATGGGTTTTCATGTACTTCATTTTGAAGATCTTCATTGCCTATGGGTTCGTCGTATTTGTTATGTAATTCTTTAATCAGTTCATTGCATCGTTCCGGCAATTTAATTTCAGGCACCTTCAATCCTTGTAATAGTTTCGCCAATTTACATTTCTCTTCATCTGTTGCCATTGTACGTATGTAATAACAAATCAAATATGTATTGAAAACCATAGCAACCGTTTGATGTGCTTTATGGTATAGATCAAATATTTAGGTAATGCCGAGTATGGTTTTACTGCATGGAATTGTAAAATTTTACTTAATATAAAATGAGTGAGGAAAATTCATTGTACTTAGTTTCCAAAATATTCCGAATAATGAGAATTTTAAATGGCCGTGTTATTTATAAACGCATTTATTTTGGTAGCCGCAACGTTTGTGTAAAAGTTAAATAGACCTCCTAAATGAAAACCAATAATACCAAGTAGTGCAGCGCAGGGCAAAAAGAAACAAACTAACTTTACACTCGGATACAAAACGAGCAGTGCAGGTCCACAAATTATCATTTTCGTTTGATTTCCCAAGTGTTTACGTTTTCGAAATAAATGTTAGTTTTACAATATTTTTTTTAGATATTCACTTTTAACAATTTTTTGTAAAGATTTTTATTTATACATTTATATATATTTGTTGTGTAAAAAGTTATAACAGTGACATAGATTTTTTAAAACACGTTAGGAAATTACGCGTCCACATATTTGATTAAAAACTTTTTAATATAAAGGCGTTATATGTATCGAAGTTGTTTTAATTTTTTTATTTAAAATAAAAAACATGAATAAAATACTTAATTAAAACGAAATACTAATAATAATTGATATAAAGCCGATAGTGGAATACCTATTTTTCGTATAGTAGGTAATTTATATATAGCAAAAACAACGATCATAGAGTTCTAATTTGTATATTACTTTTTTCCATTTTTATCATATATATATATTTTAACGCACTTTTATTTTATTTTTATTTACAGACTTCTTTTTAGAAAAGAATAGCTTCTGTAGAATTAAGGCTTAAAGTACTGTGGAAATACATATGCAGATTGAAGAGTTGTTAATAGACATATTATGCAATAATTCTGGATAGAAGAGTTTCTAGTAGGTACCTACCTAAGTTACCTATGTATGCCGAAAGTGCTGCATGGATCTACTATCTAGTCTAATTTGAAATAACATGAATGTGTTATATACCCAAAGTAGAATCAACCAAGTAGAAAAAAGGATTCCATCACTAGTATTTTTAGAATTATAATTTTCATCTCTTTCATCTGTCTCATTTGAAAATTAAATGTATACGTCAATTGTAATCAAAAACGATAAAAAATGTGCCACTAGATAAAAATATACCTTTTTGTGAAAATAAACTTACCAGTAATATAGCTATAGTTGACAAGAATAGGATTCTCATTAGATAAGAAGAAGCGCCATAGAAACAAGTATTTCAACGAGTGAGACGCAAAGCAGGCCAATTGTTGTATAATTCGAACTCCTTCTAATCTTTTACAGCCTAAATTCTCTAACGAAACCATTTGTAGACTTTCCTGTAAGCTGTACGAAACGTTTCCCTCTGGTTCAATTACGAAGCTTTTATATTTCTTGTGAATTAAATTTGAAACTTTAAACTTAATAGGATAAGACAAAATAAAAAGTGTTTATTTAGAATATTGCTGGTCGTCTCTTACTTTACTATAGTCATTCGTTCGTATTTAGTTCAAAATTAGATGTGTAGCTACGAACGACAGTGGCGGCCTTAGGGGGTGGCAAGCAGGGCAACCGCCCGGGGCCTCGCGCTTGTAGGGGCCTCGCGCTTTCGCATAACAACCCAAGTGTTGATACACTTGGGTTTCAGTTGATTCTGATGAATCTCCTGCCTTAGGCCGGACATTACAAAACCCACATCCCGCCAGTACAAGCATGTAGCGTTGAAGTCAATAAGCTATTAATATTAAATTTTACGTTATTATAGTAATTATAGTAAAGAATGAATTAGTAAAAAGACTGCGTACAACTGCTTGTATTTTTTTAATTAATTTTATGTGAAAAAAATATTTTCTAAATAAGTTCGCGCGATTGTGATGCCAGTAGAAAAATTGAGTTTGGTAGTTCAAAAAGGCATCAAGCCATCAAAAGAAAGCAGGTAGAAGAAAATCTGTATGGGTCTCTATATAAATATATAAAAGGTGATGGTCAAGAAGCTTCTAAGTCCTTAAGATCTTTCAGTGACTAAAAGTGACATGTTTTTGCATTCTAAGCCTAAAGCAGCTGAAATATTTTTATCGACATCATCTGGGATGCCGTTACTACCTAGCGATGATAATAGTAAGTAAACAACATCATTGTTACTCTACCGCCGCCGCCGTCGTCAACACTATCCAGCCAGAAATACGTATCTACGAGTAAATCTATGTCTACATCCATGAGTGGCGGAATTGAATATCTTATACTCAATACGTAAAATGACCCAGGTTTATGACCATCAATAATTACTGATGCAAACCGAACTGAGATTTCATTGAAAGGTCCAATCCTAATCGCTAAGACAGATTTTTTTCCCGTAAATGATAGTGGACGTTGAATAGGTATCATTACAATTAAAATATTAGCTTATGGTGAAAAATTGGACAAGCGCTGGATGATTTATTCACAAACAAAACTTGTCATTCACTTCTTCTGTCGATTGTTCAGAATAGAATATAAAGAATTGGGTCCAGTGCAGAGCTTTGTAATGGGAAACACTTGGGTAAATATTTAAAGTTTCACGACTTCGGCTGCACAAAGATTGTATGTTAAAACGGTTAAATTTAGAGAACGGATTGTGAGCGGATTATTAAATTTAGAGAACGGATTAAAAAGCTGTACAACTATTAACTCTTTAGCCCAGAGGCTTTCCTTCATTGGCCGCCCAAAGTGAAGCGCAAGAGCCAAATCCTTGAGAGGGTAGAAGTGCTCATTCTGTAAAATAACGGGAAAACCCACGCGCACTTGTGATGGTGAAACCGGTGCACACTTCTCGATAACCGTAGCCAACCACACTGATGTTGTGCCCGGGGCACTATGCCATTAGTGGGAGGCGAGTCACCGTCTGCCAAATATTGAATCTGAGACTGTTGAGAAGGCGGACATTCGGTAGTCTCATCCAATAGCCCAGTTTTTAGCCCGTCCAAATTCCATTCCATAGACTCTTTTAGTTTTCCATAATTTCCATAGTCCCTACGCATTGTGCGGAACCATATTTAAGCAATTCCTTATGGGTTACTCAGAGATGGATGCCGGTTGATGCGTCATATTAAACACTTAAATCTCTTAAGTGGTCTCTACGTGTTGGACCTGTGTTGCCCACACAAGCCTTCCAAACAACCGAGCTCCTTCGAGCTCATGAATTCTAAAGAGCAGTGCCGGATTCAACCTTAGTGCCGCCCCTGGACACTATAAAAGATGCCACCCTGTTATTGCAGCTTTGCATAAAATGAATAGTTTTGATAATTTTTTTTAAATGCAAAAATAATAATTTATAAGTAATATTATTTGTTCGAAAAATATATCTACTACTTAGTCTTTTTTAATTATTCATTTTTTGGGAACTAAAAAAAGCATTTTTGATAACGTGAAGACATTTTTTTCCCACCCTCCAAATTTTGCTGCCCCTAAAAATTTGCGACCCTGAGCACTAGCCCGGAATGCGGAATGCCTAGTGTGAATCTAGCGCTGCTAAAAAGATACTAATAATGTCCACTATCTCTGAAAAATTATTCAAAATGAGCTAATAGAATTAATGGCAAGTCACGCAAAACCTAAAAATGTTGACAAAATAATTTTGTCTTTTTTGTGTTTGCTAACTTTTATAAATTTCTAATATACAATTTTAAAACTCTCTAAATTTATTTATTTATAAATTTTACATTTCTCGCCAAGCATCATCATTAAAAATATTTTCAATTCACGTAAATTTTATAAAAGACCAGGGCCTCGCAAAGGTCTCCTGCCCGGGGCCTCGCAATGGCTAAGGCCGCCCCTGACGAACGATCTTAGCAAGCAATTTTATCATACCACTAGTTGACTCGATCGACGTTGCTTGTCCAAACTTCAACTTTGTTTGTAGTATTTAAGTTCATACAAAAATACCTACTATATAATAAGCACTTTTAGTTTTTTCCAATAACCCTATTTCATCTTTCCTAATTTTTTTCTCCACAAATACTATATTCGAATTAAAAGAACATTTTAAAAAAGTATTTAGTTATACTTACCCAATTATATTTTGTAATAGTTTAAAAAATGTTTTCCGTTTAAAATCGTCAAGGCGGTCGATTTTTATTAATTGATCTGATAGAAGTAGACGGTCTAGTTGAACTTGTTTGGCTTCTATTTTCTAAATTTGTGAAATAATAACTTGATATAATACGTAAGTTATTTCGCACGTATGTATAGGATATAGGTGCCTACCTTTAAAGTCTTTTCAAGCGACATGTGAAGTTCTTTCATATAAAGCGCCGATGGTAATTTCAAGGCTGTGTTAGCCAACCACAAGTGATTTCCAAGACGTGATGGCATTTTTAAATTGGGATATTGATAAGTAAATAAAACTTGTTCACAATGTAGTTCTCCAATAAAATACCTTTGGACGTCATGAATAGACCAGTACTTCGGATGTGTTGACCTACAATTAAAAAAAAATGGTGTCCTCTTTATTAACTACAATATTATCTGATGTGATGATATAAAAAAAAATAAGTAATTTTTGTTCTGAATAATATAGGGTCAATCGATACTTCCAGCTTACTTTATAGCAAATATACCTATGTATTGCTCTATTTTTAATATTTATATAAACAATCCCAAACACCAACTTTAGTACATCATCTTCATTAATTGAGCCATCTGCACTTTCAACGTAGTATAACCAAATGTGTGGGTCCCTAGTCCAGTCTTCTAAAGAAAGAGGGGAAGTACTCGGTTGATAAATCCTAGGAGAAGTTATCCAGTTCACATGTTCTAGATGCCCAACGATCTTTACACATTTACAATTTTCTTGAAAAAAATACTATATTAAAATTTAATAGTAATAAGTAATACTATATAAAATTATATTATTATATCATACGATAGGGCAAACATTAAAAATTATGAAACGCCTTAATGTGTTAAGAATTATTGTATTTATATTATTGTATATTATAATATAGTTTTAAAGTAATGAATACCTTCACTGTCCATTTTTTTTAAATAAATGGTAAATTAGATAAATGTAGGTAAAAGCGATATACCAAAAATATATTTTAAGCCTAAACATGTCACGTTGATATAACAGCGTGTCAAAATTGAAAATCTACTAATAGATAATTCCTTATCTATTGTTATAAGAACAAACTTCCTCATTGATCAATGATCATTGTAAAATATTAAGAGCGTGTTGGCAAAGCTATGGCAGTGCACTCAAGAGTTTTTGCATTTTAGTGGGTCTTTCATTTTTGGACAATTTGATAGTCTGAATTATTAAAGATTTTTATATCGGTCCATTCACTCCGAAGGTACACAAAAACGAAACGAGTCAAGCGTCTCACCTCACTCAATATGACTATGACAGTACTTACCGAATGGCATAAATCATAGAGTATATTGCTACATATATAAATAGTACCGAATAGCATAAACGTCTAAAACGAAAACAATTTTATTTTAGACAAAATTAAATTCTATATAAATTTTAAATCTAAAGTAAGGTATATCTACGTGTAAGGTAACAAAAATAAATCAATATAATTGGCATTTCGGTATATTTGAAAAAATATACAAAGAATTATTATAATTATTTTCATCTGTACAATTTAAACAATTAAAAAGTACTAATAAATGCGTTACATAAACGTGATTAATTAAATCATTTTCAAACATAATTATAATATAAAATAGATGCCAAACTGTGAGGAAAGTAACCCGTATATAAAGTTTAGTGTAATTCTCTCAAGTATGTTTTTAAGATAGATATTAAATAGTAATATATACATACATTGTTAAGGAATATTTAAGTTCGTATTACTTTAAAGTCTCTAGAGGAGACGTATCACGTGGGAACACGACATTGATTACGGATTTAGTAGCATATTCATTTATAAAAATTTAACATTCATCTTAGACCATATATATCAACCATAATTTAAATTTTTATAAACAAAATAGCTGCACATTGCTACATCAGTATAAGTAAAAGTCATCATTCTAATTCTAAGAATATATCATACAAATACCATCCTGGAAAGTTGACATTCATGATTCAACACATTTCAAGGCGGTGCACAAACAAGTACCTAGACATTTCATTTTTCATCGTTTGAAATATTCCTACATTGTCAAAAAATAATAATAATTAAAATAACAGATGCTCTCCATATAGTCCAAGATCTTTGCTCTAAGATCATTGCTCTAATAGTTAATGCGCATTCAATTAACAACAAATCATTAATTAACATAATATGCTGTTGCCGCCTAACAACTAAGAAATAAAAATGTTCAATTTTCATTAATTGTACCTATTATGTATAGTTAATAGTTATCAATAACGTTTTTGTTCATTCCAATTAGGCTATATTAACTAGGTTTGACTAAACTATAAGTGTACTGATGGCAGTATCCATTTAAATTAAGATCCAAAACACAAGTCACGATAGTATCTTAGGTATTACTTTATTAGATATGAACAGATTTATAGTCTTACTTTACTATATCCAATGTAAATTCCGTGTAAGTTATTACAAACTTAATTCAGATTTTGTAACGGTAAATGAAAATATTAACAGAAAAAAAAATCTGGACGCAATTTTATTGTCAAAGTCTGAAAGATGTTCAGTCTTAGTGTCTGAAGAATATATGGATGGATTGTTCTATTTGCTGATTTAATATTTTGTAAATAAAAAAACGTTTCAATTGCAAGAGAAAAAAGTCAAAGCAAATTTACATTACCAAGAACTTCGTCACATATATGACAATTTATTTACTCGCATCGTTACTGCGATATATTCATAAACACACCTTAAAGTTAAATACATCAAGATACTATTTGGTTTAGATATTTTAGTGGCATTTTTAAATACCGAGACAGTTTAAGATATTTCTAATATTATTATGTTAGAAGTTTATTATATTTATTTACCGTTTATGTAAGTATATCAGTAAATATTAATTTTAATTATATTAATAACAATAATCGATTAAAATACAAAATATTATGTAATACGATCAATTAATGGGATATGTAAACATAAACAATTTTCTCCATTTAAATATTTTATTAACATCTCCAGGTAAATTTCTAAGAAATTAATTAAATTTCTAAGAAATCTATTGTTAACTGACACGCCGGCGTGTCCGCGCTCGTGGGGAGATTAAGAACATAATTTTATTCAAACTATACCCTTTAGCTGAAATAACTCAAGATTTTCTTTATCTTTTTTCTCTTGAAATTGGGACAGAATTATCAAAGTAATCCAAGCACATTATACTAATAAATTTTGCTAATTTTAATCAGTCTGATGTTTAAGATAATTATAATTACTGTAATTATAAACATGTACGTGAAAAATGACAAAAAACAAGGGAAGCTCTTTTCTATCATTAATTATTTAAAAGGAATGTGCGTAAAAAAGATGCAAACAGTTGAATTCATTCAAAACCAGCAGTATTGTTGCCAGGTCGATATATTTTTACATTACTTTTTAAAGAAATAATAAATATAAAATTATAATCGAAGTTTTAATTGTAGGTATCCTTCGATAATTAAAAAAATCGCATAATATTTTGTATCGAAACGAACGACCTAAAATACTCGCCGTGAAATTTATTAATAAGTAAAGATTTCAATTTACAAGCCTCTTCATTAATTTACTATATTAGACATCGCGTATAAAATTTAATTTCGCAAAATTTGCGCTACGTTTAGAAAACATGTAAAGATGAATTTGGAAGGACGGTTCTGTAAAATTATCTTTAAATAGGACTTCAGTTTATGTTTACCCATATTATTTTTAGAAACAAAAATTTTATTTTAATTTCAGAAAAAAAAAGTTGTATTTTATAATTTTGATTGCGTTCAAAGACCTCGGAGAAGCTAATATACACGCTTCAAATTTAACTGGACAGAATCACAGCCCACAGAACATAACTATAGTACGCGCCACGCGAATGAGATCTGATATATGTATTTGTTTTTAAATTAAATTATTCGACCAGCGATGATGTTTAAAAATAAAAATTGTTTTTTTTTTTAAAGTAATGTATAAAATTCCTCTAAATCGTCAATGTTTTATATTTCATATTACTATAAATTGTGACCGCGCATGTGCTTTCACTTAAATGTGTATAATAATATATCAAAAGGCTTCAAGTTAAGCTAGTTCTGTTTCATAAATAAAATACGGTCGTGCTTTTACAATCTACGTGTACATTAAAATATTTCATAACTATGGCACAAATTAGGAATATTATACTTCTAATTACATAAATATACAAGAAATGTATAGTATCAAATGAGAACAATAAATACACCGGATTTGTCACTCCTGACCAAAAAGCCTAAAAAATTGTGTCTATATTTCATAAACAAGAAATACTTAATATGTCGGTATTAAAGAAAATCGATTTCATATGTACATATGAAATTAGATGCTCTTATATAGATTGAGAATGTGCTTCTATTATTATTCCCTTGTTTACGTCCATTCTAACGGACTTCACTAGGGCGAGTTGGTCGATATCTCCAATCAATAAAAACCAACTATAAAGTGTCACAAGCTGAGAGCTGCACAGTCATTGAATTAGGAACATAATATAAAATTGTCAAAATTCCAACTAATTTTAATAAATACATTTGCAAAGTCCACTTGTAACATTTGATAAAGGTTACTCTTTTTTAAAATTAGCACCATTTCCGCCGCATCGCCAATTTTAATGAATTAAAAATTTTAATTATCATAGGTACTTAAAAGCCTAAAAATTGTTACAATTTATTAACCTTCTCTTACTTATACCACTTTAAAGTGCAAAGTATTAAATTACCAAAGGTATTAGTTGTTACAATTGGACTCGCAAAAGCTAGCTTAGTATATACCACTTCATAATAGCACCGCCATACAACGTCCAAGTCCGTCACATAACACTCAATCCACCCGCCGGCCGCCGGTCCCCGCGCCGTGCGGCACATTACATAGAACTCAGTTCCATAATTGTACATAAAACATAACTACCAGTCTACTCTCAGAGTGCGAATCGAAAGAGACCACGAATAATTTGGCTACATTCAGAGAGCAGTCGTCATCACTACATGAAACACTACTACGCGATTGACGGCGATATACCGCTACTACATTGCATTATTCCTGGAATTCGATTAAGCATGAAAGTCCATAGTGTGTCTATAGTCCGTCACTTAACCCGTCGCTGCCAACGTCCACTCGGTCCGTGATACAACCCGTCGCCGCCTACTCGGCTCGTCCGCGGGCCGAGCACAGGCGGCACGCGAGGCCGCAGAGGGCAAGCGACAGGTCGAGTCGGTCTCAAGCGGTGGGCTGCGCGGTTAGGTGCGTGGAGTCGCTGCGGCGTGGCGGCGCGGGCGGCGGGCGTTTCTTTATCGGCTTGGGCTCCTCACGTCGCGGCGGTGCCTCCCGTCCGAACACATTCTCGTAGAAGGGGTCCTCCGCCCCCGCGCCCGCTCCATAGTGCTCCTGCACCCACATCGAAACGCTGGTCTCCTTGTAATCGTCCGACAGCGGGTACTCCCGGAAGCCGAGCACCTCGTGCGGCGTCGTCGCAGGCTCCAGCTTGCACTTCTGTGCCACTTGCCACTTCTTCCTCATCACCCTCTGCAAATCTTTGAGGAACTCTTTGGGAGGATTGCTGTTGGAATCGGCAAGCTTTTTCGGTGAGGACAGTCGCGTGCTTTCGTTGCGTTTCGGCGGCGGCGGCTTGCGTGGCGACGGGGGCGCGTCTGTTAGATTGAAGGAGATCTTTTTGTTTTTCTTTTCCGCGGTCGTTGGGAGATCGTCTGCAAAGTTTACCTTCTTCATGGAGCTAGATCGTTCCTTGGTCCGTCCGTCTGTCTCTATTGTTTTTTTCTGTAGCGAGGGGCTGCCATTGCTGAGTTTCTTTGTTTGTAATTCGACTAGACAAGCGCCGTATGCGACATTCTGTTGCCCGTATATGCTCTTATCCGAATGTAGAGAGGAGGTTTTAGACGCTTCAGAGCTGACACTGTCAAGGGAAGGTTGTCTCGGGAACGACCGGCTCGGATCTGAGATGCGGTTACTGTTTCTTTGCCCCGCACGGCCAGTTTGTTCTATCTGCTGTGCAGTGAGCTGGCTTACAATATCCTGAACGCGGCCGGTGTGAGCTTCCATAGTATGTTCAGGGGGTGGTGGGGGGAGGCTGAGCTGTGACCCTGAAATATCCTCGATAGGTTCGAGGGGAGGCGGGGGTGGGGGCAACGAGTCCAGGCTTAGGGTCGAGCTGAACATTCCATCAGTGACATCATCGGTGGGAGGAGGAGGTAGAGGTAAGTCTTCAACTGTGGCTATACACTGCTGTTGTGTTTTATCATAGATAGTGTATCCGTAGAGTGAGGAGGCTGTGTCCACACTGCTGCGATAGGGGTCCCTTGCGATGGTCTCGTAGTGGCCGTACGAGGATGAGGGTTCTTCATGTCGCACGGGGCTAGTGCTCGAGGTGATACTTCCAGTACTATATATAGCAGTTTCCGAAGATTCTGTAAATTATATTAAAATATGAAATAAACTCCACGACGATTTAGTTAAAGGTTGTGTCAGTTTTTGACACAATTTTTACTTATTAGCATAAATATCGGCAAAATAATGTATTTAAATATTATAAAAATAAAAATATGTATTTAAGTTCCTAAAATAGACATAAACGTTAACCCTGACATTTTCTCAATAAATACAACATTGTGTATTATAATAATTTTATTTTATTACTGAAATTAAAATTATCTTTACGGGGCTGCTACTGCTGCAGTCACTTCAAAATTTAAACTTTCAAGATCGACAATACTGCAATATTATATTAATGGAATAGTTAGAAAATAAACTAAGTAACACATTTTTATTAAGCTGCACTTGTAGTAAGGTTCTATCAAAGTAGGTTCAGTAGTAATGAATAGTAATGAACATTGGTTCTTGACTATAAAAACATAATTTCGTACTATATAAAAGCCAAAGATATCGAAACAGATTAAAAAAATAATAATTGGTCATAATTATAATATCAATATTAGCAACCCAAAAATAAAAACGGATAATACTCGTATTAAAATGGCGTCTAGAAATAGTTTGTTTTATAAACCTAATACCTATTTATTTTAATTTAATTAATTATTTTCGTACCGTATATTCATATCGTTTGAATTGTGTGTGAAAAATTATTTTACGTCTCATACGCAATAATGTCCATAGTAGTCTTGAAAAGTTTGTTAATTTTAACAAGAATTTTCGTTAAGAGTTTTCTTTTTCTAAGTCTTCAGAAATGTATGATATATTGAGATGTGTTAATTTCTAAGTTATTCGTTTAAATATTATTAACATCTTCTTCAGAAATAGCGTAAATTTAAAACAGTTTTAGACTATCCTTTGGATGATTTTGGATATTGTTGAACTTAACTGATTATGGCACCATATACTTGTTGGAAAAATTTCAAATTTGGGCTGTTTTGACTCGTTTTAACCTATACACAAATAGATGGTAAAAGCCGTTTTTTAAATATTTTAAACTTTAACTATAAAAAAAATCGTACCTGTAGCGGTAGAGTGATGTCGTTTGAGTGTAGAGTCATCTCGTGGCCTGCTCCGCCTGGTGAGTGTGCCGGAATCGCCATTGTCTACGTCACCTTCGTTTTCTACCATTTCCTTCAACTGTCGGGTCATCCATGTCAACGGGATGTTTGGTTTCATTGATGGCTTGCGTTTTATTGTTCCTGTAACATAATATAAATATTTAAAATAAAACTGTCTTCTTGGATTTTTTCGCGGATTTATTTTGATTTCTGGTTGCCGACGTTTCAAATGCTTTACAGCAATCATTGTCACGGGAGAGACTATGGTTTTAGATGTCTCAAAGGCATTATATCGTTGTTACAGACAGCCTACCCACAAAATAACAAAATGAATTCAAATTTTTTTATATAAATAATTGTACAATGTTTTTTCAATTATGTCAAATGCGATTAACATAATAATAATTATTAATAGTGCCTTACCCTCTCCTAGGATGTATGTACTTCTAGAAGAGGATTTTTTACTTAATTCACAAATATCATCGTACCGGCAGATAATTATTTTTGGAAACTATTTATAAATTTTAGCCTATACCATCGTAGAAAATCTCTCTTTCATTGGTGGAAGCCAAATGAAAATTCGTACAGTAGCTTCTGAAATTAGCCAGAACAAACACAAACTCAACTTTAATTTATAATATGTAGTGATAATAGAAATACGTATATTTATTTCTATTTAATCTATATACAATAAAAACAAGAGCGAAGCTCTATAGTTATACGGTAACGCGTTGGATGAATGACCTAATTCAACCGACTAATTTAGCTTTTGTATTTCAAACTGCTAAGTGTAATCCTAGATATAAGATCGAAAAAAAATTGCCAAAAACATGTTTAAAAACCTTATAAAAATGTGTTTTAAAGAAATTTTAATACTGTCTCTTTAAAAATAAACCGATTTACAGCAATAAAAAAAATTTTGCAACAAAAAAATAACCTTATTAATATTTTTATAAGCAAAGTCAATATAAAATTAAAATGTATACATTATTTACTAAGTAAATAAAATGTATGTCTATCACGATATAAAATACCATGATTCAAATAAAAAAAATAACTATAATTTACGAACCCATAGGAAATTCGCAATCGAAGGCACTCTCCGATGCAGTGCCGCCATCTGACAGACATCCACTGGAACTGGACGAAGAGGCGCGGGAGTGTCTAATATATAAATTTATAATATATTTTTAATTTTGTCATAGTCAAAATATATGCAATTATAAAATGAGTTGAAGGAAAAATCTACAAAAAAAATATGTACTAAAAACGTACTAAATTATGAAAATTGCTAGGATAATAATAATTGTTAACTAACAAAAAATAAAATATCCTAAAGTTTTATACACAGCAATTTACTAAGATAAAATATGAAAAATTCAACAACAACGGAAACATTTTATTAATATTAAAAATAAACCTAATCAGAATAAATGATTGAATTTCTATTTATTTACAAGTCATGCGCAACTCGATACATGTATAATATAAAAAAAATATATTCGCAATTGCATTGACATATTAAAAAATATGTACACTTTCGCTTCCTAGCACATACAAATATAATAATAATAAAAAAATAAAACACTTATTATTTTTTACTTTTGCCATGGATATATAAAGAAAAATAAAAAAAAGACGTCATATTAATATATAATGTTTAGTACAAACCTGCCACTGCTGATATCAGAGTTGGCGACACTAGCATTACTGGAGACTGGCGCGGGGTTGTTGACCCCCACTGGCGCCACGCCATTAGTCTTCGTTGGGATCGATGTTATCTGCAACAATATCGTTTATTTATTATTACCCCCATATCTTCTAATATATAAAATTCTCATGTCACAGTATTTGTAACAAAACTCTCCGAAACTTGACCGATTCTTATAAATTTTGTATGTATTTTCAGTAGGTCTGAGAATAGGGCGTAAACTATTTTTCATATCCCTAAGTGATAAGGGTGGTCCACCCTAAGATTTTTTTTTTATTTATTGGTTGAAATTAATTTATTTTAATTTTTTTAAGATTTGGCATTAAAAAATACATACAAACCTAAATGTTTACTAGGAAGCTTTCTAGAGCGGAGCGAGGGTCAGTCGCTAGTATATACATAAAATCCTATATAAAAGAACATTTCATGAACTTTTAATAAACTAAAGATAAGTAAATAAAAGAATATCAAGGAGAAACTTGATAAACTTCGCGCTATCTTTTATTAATTAGTAACTGTCGCATTTAATTTCTATCTCCATTTCTGGAAGACGGCAGAAGTTGTTTCTACAAAATTATAATTTCAAGCAAAGAGGAAAACATAGTTAAAACAAAAAGAAAGAAAAGAAACGATATTCACTTGAAATTTTCATATTTTGTTTTGGTCTTTAATTAAGATATTATTTATTATATTTAGATACATAGGTTGGATAATCAAAATCATTTCAAATTTAATAACATTTTTTAACAAACAAGAATATTAGCTAGATTTAAAGAGTTCGAGTAAATTATATGCTTAGTTACTTACGGAGCAAGAGCGCGCGTGGGCCAAGTGATCTAAATCTTCTTGGGTCAGTTCTTCTACTAGCGAGCGGTAGTTCTCTAACAGTTGCCTGCCATGCTGCGGATTATATTTTTGTATGAAATATATTTTTATAAAAATGAACACTGGATAAATCTATTGTCTCATTAATAAACATTTATTTTCACTATTTGACCGACTAAAAAAAGGAGTAGGAACGCTTATGTTGTCAGACGTATGATTTTTTTGGTTTTTATAATATATTTGCACGGCGTTTTCGCCAATTGTAAACGAATTTTCATGATTTTTTTTAATGTAGAAAAATTTAATTATAGATTACCTACTCATGTAAAGCAACAAGTATTTTTTTAAGGACGATTCGATAGAACCAGTATTTGTTGTTGAACCGTGGGAATGAATAATTTGCCAGTTGAAATGTTGACCCGAGTAGTAAGTTCTCAGTATACAAAATTTAGTTAAAAACGATTCAGTACTTTTTGCGTGAAACGCGCACATCGATTTGACTAAGTTAGTTTTATTATAGGTATAGATAAGAATAGATATTGCTTATGAGATAAACATATACTATTCAGAACTTTTCTGTAGGACTTTTCAAGACCTACAATTTTTTAGTATATTGTTTTGATGTATGTTTGTCTTAAGGCTTAGCCAGCGGAAGGTTTCTAGGGAGGACTCGATAAAACCAGTTATTGTATTTATCGTTGGAAAAGAAAGATTTTCTTGAAGTAAAAGGTATCCTAAATGTTGACTCGAGTAATGAGTTATCACTTCACCAAATTTGGTTGAAATTGCTACATTAATTTTTGCGTGAAACGCGCACACGAAAACAGTCATTACAGGCAAGCTGACATTTTTTTTAATAACTATTGTTTTGGGATCTATGTTATGTACATAACACGTTACAAATAAACATGAACATTTATCCCACGGGAACCGTTAATTTTTCCGGGATAAAAAGTAGCCTATTTGGTATTTTGATGTATCTTATTGTACTGTATATTATTGTAAAGTTTCATCAAAATCCAATCAGTAGCTTTTGTGTACTAAGCTGTATAAGTTACTATTGTTTTTCAACTTTTCCACGGGAACTTTTTAATTTTCCGGGATGAAAAGAATCTAAGATGTTGCCCGGGGATATAAGGTACCACCATGCAAAATTTCATTTAAATCAGTCCAATAGATTCGGAGATTAGCCCGTACAAACAGACCGAGAAACAAAAAAAATGAAAAAATCTGGATTTGTTCTATTTGTCTTCTTACATCGCCCTGAATCGGTTTTTACTATTTTTTTTTTTTACAAATTACTAAACTTCATTAAAATTAACATAGAACCTTGTAATAGTGAGCCAACGAATTATGTCTATTTCTTAAAGGATAACATACTATATATACCCGGTGCGAAGCGAGAGTGAATCGCTAGTTTAATATAAAACACTTTTTATGCGTTCAGTAGACAGGTGTAGGACGGTCTCATTTCGGATCCTCTACTATAACGAGCACAAGCCAATATGTATTTATATAAAAACGAACGGAGACTGTTTAATCGATAAATCCAAAATGGATAAACTAAAAGCTAATATTTTCTTAGATTTATCAAAAATTTGACATTTCAAATAAAACTATCTGTTCGGATTTTCTCGTGGACATCACCATGATTGCTGTTAAGCATTCGAAACGTACGTAAAAAAATATATAAATATATCTGCAAAAAAATCTGAAAATATAGTTTTATTTTAAAAATAAGAAAGCTGAAAATTTTACATTGAAGAATTGTAATGATTAAACAAAGTTCGAAAAAGTTCGTTTTAGCTCGGCGCTAGAGTAACTTTTATCGCTTTATAGAACTATACACCACCAATGAAATCGCAACGGTCTGAATTATTTAGTTTTAAGACTATTGTATTGTATACTTAAGTTTTTATATAAATATATAGATCTATTAACCATGTAGAGAAGAGCTCACTAAATTGTTCTTTAAATAAACTCAAAACAACAGTGTAAAAATACCTTTTTAAGTATTTTCATCTACTCTTATAATCTTTATTTTTGTAATAACTATAATAAGGAACAGAAACTAATCAATTATACACATTATTATAATGTAAATTAAACAAGCAATTTACTCACTACGAAACGCAATCATGGTAATCGCTCTCATATACTTCAAAGTGTAATTAATAGTAATAAACATTCATAGGTATCTTACCTTAGCTATTCGCATAGCAGTGACCCATCTCTCGAGTGTCCTTTGATCATCGGCGCAAAGGAACTTTATAAACTTGACGCTCTTCGGCTGTTGAAGCCTCGGGTGTTTTATTGCGAAGCAATAATCTGTAGGCGATTTGTATTTTTTCCTCCAATTAACTCCTAAATACACTTCATTCGTATCGAACGTCGCGAGACACACCAACTCCTTCAATGTCTTCACTTTATCTTTCGGTAAATAGTACAGTCCTAATAGATAAATAGAAAATATATTTACAATTATAATGGTAATAATAATTCGCTTGCTATATAGTAAGTTACGTACAATAAGGGTGTGGCCACACAATTCGCGTAGCGCTTCCATTTATATTGCTCATGTAAAAACAATTGAACAATATAAATGAAGTCGTTGTAAAAAGACGCATTGTTACTAACCGGAAGGTCTTAAGACGAAATAGTACTTCTTCCATCCTTTTTTGGCGTCACTTTTCAAGTATAGAGGACCTTCCATAGGAGGGACGGGGTGTCCAGAAATAGAGGGCACATTCGAAGTCCCGCTTTGCCCGAAGAACTCTTCAATTATCACTTGACGTGAATGTTCGTCTTGTTCACTCGACCAACCTAGTAAAATAATTTTGGATACAATCTCAAAACTAATAACCATTTACATTATTATTAAATAACCATTTGTTATTTATATTTATATAATATATAACTATGCATTGTCAGTAGGTACTAGGGAAAAAATATATACTTATAATAATACTTCTGTATAATTGTGTTATCCAAAATGACAAAACATCTAGAATTAATATACCCATTTATGTAAAAGATATCACCATGAGACAACAATATTTGTGTAATAAACACTAATATTGTTTGAGAAAACATATGTTTAATACCTCTATCATCTTCAGTGAGAAGGAACTTCTCAGGAGTTTGGAACAGTGACATCTTATCAGGTCTCTCTGCAAATAGAATCTTATTCTTTGACTCTCGCGTCCAAAGCATCAGGTTGTCAACAAGCATCTCATGATCTTCATATACTCGTTCTAAATTGTATAAAATATTATTATTATTTATATGTGTTTTGTGTATTCATATTCCCAAAGTTTTATATTATATAAAAGTATTTTTGCACTTTTGTTACAGTAACTATCTTTCATAGTTAAATTAAAAATTAGCATGTGGTCTATAAGATAAAAAGCTTTGGGAACCTTTGAATTATATATATAAAATTTTACTTTTAAGTTCCTAATAAAATAATATAAATATTTAATTTTATTACATAATGTAAATTGTAAACTAAAATGAAACTATGTTCATATTGTAATGTGTTTATATTAATTTAATATTATTTTATAATTACGATATGTACTTAGTTTTTATTTATTATATATGCATGCTTATCAATAATATGAAAACAAATTTCTTACCCATGTGAAGGTCAGGCAGGTGTTCCACGATGGCCCACTTTGGTTCCATTGTAACATGATTTTTATCTGCCAATAGTCTTGCTACATAACCACAAGTCATTTTTTCATCAACTAGTAGACTTTTTGAAGAACCATCCATAGAAAATGCTTTAATAAATAATTTCTTCACATTAGCTTCTCTCATGCGCTCAAGAGCTAACTTGATTTTGTCCGCTTTCTGTTGAAAAACTGCATCCTGTGAACGTATTTACGACATCTAAACTAACTAAACATAAAAAGCAGAAAGAACTAATAAAAAGATAAAAATAATGATCTATAAAAAATAATAATAATCATTGTCGTCAATAGCAAAATAATTACTACAACATCTAGCTACTCGCAGCAATCAAGGGGAAGTAAAACTAATAAATTTACATAAGGGGGCAAGATATAAAAAAAAACCTTGTTTTCATGGCAAAGCATAACATTACCTTTTGGTTAGGAAGTAAGCTAAGTTTGATGGCTTTACATTTAGAGCTTGCACTACTGGAAGCTGATGATTCACTAGATAACATGGATACCTGAAAATAAATTTATATTCATGTCAGAAACATAACTATTAACCAATCAAGGAATCTGTTGATAGTTTTTTTGTAAAAAAATAGTTATTTGTCTTAGTGCCAAACTATTAATTAATAATAATTTAATAAGTGTATAAATAATTTTGATAATATAATATTTCATATATTATATGCATGTGAAATAAAATAAGTTTAATTTAATTGTCTTCACCGTGTCACTAAAAGCAGAATCATTATCCGGGGAGTCAGTGCGAGTGATTGTAGAAGCTCCATCATTACATTCTTTATTTTCTTGTCTTTGTGAAGTTTCCCCTTCACCTCTTTCTTTGGATTGAGTAGAATAATCTACAATAAATATGAAATAAATGTTAAATGTATCATTTATTATAGAATTTGTTAAGAATACACTTCCGAGGTATGTACTTTAATTAACACTAGTGACTCACCCTTGCTTCGCTCGGGTTCATCCCTATAATTTTTTTGAGCGGAACCCCAATTCCTTTAATGAAATAAAAGTAGCCTAAGTTACTCCTTATAACATCAACTACCTGCCAGTGAAAGTCCCGTCAAAATAGGCCCAGCCATTTCGGAAATTAGCCAGAACAAACAGACAGACAAAAAATTTTAAAATTGTGTTTGTCTTATCAATACCGTATATAATTCCATATGCATTTAATAAAAAGCTGTTATTTTGACATAACAAACAGATAAATTAAATATCATATGTGTTTAAAAAACAATAACTTTATTGTTAAATTACACTTAACTATACATATACCTATCGCTTACCTGAAGATACTCTCGAAATTTCTTCGTCATATTCTGAATCGAGTGCACAAAGCTCTCCAAGAATGGCATCCAAGTCCGCATCTTGAGTCTCCTCCAGGTTCGCCATCGAAAACCTGTATGTGTCTATACGAGGCGCCACGATTTCCAACGGTCGCAATGCAGTGGCTACTTCACTTGACGCATTTAGACCCTAAAAGATAAAAATAAATTCAAATGTAAATATTTTCTTAGAATTTTTAAAGTTTGAAACATTGAGTACATTGACCTACGGTTAAGATATCTTGACACTAACGTTTAAAAGTTTGTTATTATGTTGCTGTCAAAAAGTTTGCAGTACGTATGTTTAAGCGAGGTGCACACTACTCATATCAAATGTGACGCGGAATGCAACTGTAGTTGCGACACAATACTGCATTGCGTTTTACAAAAAAAGTTTTAATGTTGTTAAGTTAATAAAAATAGAATGCTATAGTAAACATAAACAACGTTTTATAAGGACTTTTATATTTCGTAATATCCTTAATTTACAAATAAATTATTCAAGAAATAAGATAACGTGATTTTTATCTGTTGAGGCCAAGGTCTTGAATGCTTAAAGCAAAGTTAATTATCATATTTCAGCATTTTTTATTCGTTATTAAGAATTTATTATCCCTCCACGACGAAAGTCCGAAGTCTTACATACATCAAGTAACAAGTTTTAGGTTTAGTATCCATGTGACTAACAATGTATACAGGCATGCTAAGTGTGAGATATAAACAAGTAACGTAACGAGTTTTAGAGAATAGCACATTATGAATGCGTATATCAAAACTTCAAACGATGAATTAATTACACACGAACATAAAAGTCAACATCCCAAAACATGTCCCGGGAACTCATTGTCTTTGGAACAATGAACTCAGTAGCGTTGTTTAATTATGCGTAAAGTATACCTAACCTATCAATAATAAGGCACGTCTATATTATATGTAATAAGCACCTATTCATTTGTATATTGATATAAGAATATCGAACACAATAAGTAGATCACATGGACGTTTCGTTATTTAAACTGTCTATTTATATAATAAATTCATCAGTTTGTAGACCTCAGGCGTCGATCTGACCTAATTCGTCCTTAAATAAACTTATTTAGCTTTCACTAGATGCTTTAACTTAAACGCTATGTGCTTGTATTACTCTGAATATAGGCATAGTTCACACTTAAGTCATTAGGATCACTTCAATTACGTACCGTGGTGTTCATAGTAAGAAGACTTTGCTCAATGGATTTGTTTTCAACTGGAGAGTTATTATTACTTTTCGACTTGGTGGCCAAACGGAAACTTCTATTAAGGGTAGATAGGAAGCCTCCGCGATGCCACTTGGTCTGTTCACTTAGTTGCACGTCCATCATTCCTTACCCGCTCACATCGCACCGTAGTGACTCACCATCAACAACTCACACTGCCAAATTATAAGCAAAGGCCGGCGCCGTTTGAACTTTACAATCCGTTATTCCCAAGCATATCTATTATCTGTCAATAGCTAAACATAATCCACGGAAGCGAGTCGATTTGCAAGTTAGCGACCGGAGCTTGGCAACGTAATCTTGAGTTTGTTAACACTCGATTTATTTGATTCCAGCGCCCCAATCGTGTCGGAGTCTGCGCGTTTCGTTTAAGAGTATAGCGTACAAACATCGGACCTCGCCCACTCACAACATAATTGAAGCTATTATTTGATAATCTTTGTTTTCACAGTAACTTTAAATATATCAGAACAAAGGGGACGCGATGATATTACGAAACGCATGCAGCGAACGCAATCTCGAACTCAACTAGAGTAAAGTTGCATTACAAAACGAGCGCCAAGCGGCAGGGATGGGTTAGTCAGAGAGGGGAGTGGGGCAGCGGGCAAGTGGCAAGAACGAAGCTAGTAGCGAGGGAAGTTAGCGACTCGTTGTTAGGCGAACGCGGCGTGACTCGCACGTGTGGGGCCAGTTTTATGTAGCCTTGCTTGACGCGGCCACACTTTATTTGATAAGGATGACTAGGCGGTGTACGTGTGGCGCGGTCCGCCCGCGGCTGGGATCTCTCGCCCCCGCATTTGGCGCACCCAAATGATACTTAAATAATTTAGGGTGGAAATCGGGAGAAGTTAAGTTACGCATTGCGTTGTTTAAGAACAGAAATTTGATAATCATTAGCTTATAGAGCGCAACTAACTTGATGTCCATTTAAATTGATACTAAAATATACATAGAAGCAATGCATCTATCATTTTATTAATGAAGTTTTATATATATTTTATTATCTATACTTTAATTGTTTAATGTACGATTTCATTATTTTTTGTATATAACTAGCGACTCACCCTCGCTTCGTTGGGGTACATATTATATGTACAATGTATATAACGTATAATATTGATTCCCCTTTTAAACTTCCACCCCCCTTTTCTCCCCCTTAAGAAATGTTTTCTGGGATAAAAACTATGCTATGTCCTTCCCAGGTTCTTAAACTACCTCATACCAAATTTTATCTCAATCGGTTCATCGGATTAAGCGTGAAAAGTTGACAGAGAGACATACAGAGTTACTTTCGCATGTAATATAAACTATGGATATATAAAGCTGGTTCTTTTTTGTTATTTGAACTCGCTTTGCCCTAGTATTACCAGCCCATATTTTGAAAAATCTTTCTTGGATATTATAGCCTGGAGAAGAGTCTATGTAACCCGTGTGTAAGGAGAGGAGCGATGTATAATGTACATACATACACATAAGATACACGCGAGCAACCCGTTTTAATATATTAATGTTTTACGATTTTTATTATTTTTAATATTGTTTACTTGTATTACTTAAATTAGTTGTTTGGTATAAGTAGCCAGTAGGTATCGTAACTTTTATTATTATGTTTGTTCCCCTTCGGATTTCACGGGCTCAAAGAAGCCCGGTCCTTTGGAAGGCTTACGTGGGGACACAGGTTCAAGACGTAGAGGCTGCTTAAGAGATCGAGTTTTTTTAATGTAACGCATCAGTCGGGATCCATCTCTGAGCAACCCCAAGGGAATTGCTCAAAGATGGTCAGATAATGCGTAGGGACTTTAGAAAATATGGAAAACAAAACGGGGTAAGGAATGTAGTTTCGATGGGCTAAAAACCGGGTTATTGTGTGAGACTACCGGACGTCCGCCTACTCAATAGTCTCAGATTTAATATGCAAATATATAATATTGGCGAACAGTGACACGCCTTCCACTAGACGGGCCCCCACAAAGCGGGATAGGGCCTCGGACGCAACACCGGTTTAAAAACCGACCACGCCGATTTACCCTTTAGGGTGTGATGTGAGCACCGGTTTCTCCATCGCGAGTGCTCGTGAGTTTGCCCGTTATTACGCAGATTGAGCACTGCTCTTACTCTTGCGCTCCACAAATTAAAGCTTAGGCAAGCTAAAGGCGTTTTCTAAACATTATCACATAATAATAAATAGGGCATACAAACAGCTTGGATTCATTAAACGTGCTACACAAAATTTTACGAATACAGAGTGTATTAAACTTCTTTACTTTACGTACCTATGTACGAAGTGTTATAGAATATGGCAGTAACATCTGGTCATATTTACCAAATACCTACATATCAAAAGACTTGAAAACATACAAAATAATCTCGTAAAATATTTACAATTCAAGCATTTTAAATACTTTGTTGTAAACCAAAGTGCATACAAACACTATGGTATTGAAACACTCGAACAAAGTGACATTATTTTGTTACAAGCAATTATAGCTGACAGAATTGATTGTCCTGGTTTGCTTTCAAATATATCACTATTTGTCCCAAAATTAAGAACACGACATACCGTCAACAAAATCCTAAAAACGGCATTATACCGCATCTGACGAGAACTTTTTTTTTCTTTTTTCAATGTACGAGAACTGTTGTCCATTCTATATAGAGTAATATAATTATAATGTATTATAATGTATTTTTATTATCTTTGTAACGCTGTAAGATTACGTAGTAATGCTGTAAAATTAATAAGTAAATCCCGAATTTCATAAAAACCTAGTATATATATTTTTTTTTGAGGGTGTCTATTCGTCCTTTAAGAAGATGAATAAAAATAATTATTCGTCCTTTAATTTATTAAAGGAGGAATTAAAGGACGTTATAGTCGGACGAATAATATCGAATGAATATTTTTTATTCATCCGATTATATCGGACGAATAGCAACAGCCTCCTTTATTTATTATTCGTCCTATTAAAGTACTAATACATAATTATTTTTTATTTGTCCTTATTTTAGTACGAATAGTAACAGCCTTTTTAATATTAATACTAATAATTTTGGTGCATTTCACATTAAGAATGACAGAGTTTCAGACAAACTTTCAACCTCTATTTTACTACCTTAGGGGTTAATTAATTTCAAAAAAATCCTTTCTTACACGCTTACAGTATAAATTGAATATCCTTTCCAATTTTTAAAACTCATCAGTTTGGGTTGAACGTTGATAAGTCAGTCAGTGAGTCGCGACTCGGGACATTGCCTTTTATTTATAATAGAATAAAAGAAATTATTGCGAGTGTACCTTAGGAGATAGACATATACTATTGCGGACCTTTATGTAGGCTTAGCCTTTTCTTAAAACCTACAATTTACAAGGAAGTATCATTTAAAGTTTAGCCAGCGTTAGCCAAATACGTATCATTCTAAGAACGACTCGATAGAACCAGTTATTATCTTCTCCCGTGGGAATGAAAGATTTTTCAGTAGTAAAAGGTATCCTAAATGGTGACCCGAGTAGTAAGTTATCACTACACAAAATTTAGTTAAAAACGATTCAGTACTTTTTGCGTTAAACGATAAGTATTTTTTTCAAATATTTTTCCAAATGTCCAAACCACAGAAATCTTAATAATATATTATTTATATAAAATATATTATTAAGATTTCTGTGGTCCAAACAGACAAAAAATTAATAACTATTATTTTGGGGTCTATATTTTATACACAATACGTTACAGTTATTGATTTTTAAAATATTTAATGTACAGATTTAACTAAGTTATCTACTGTTTTATTATATGTATAGATAAAGTAGAAAATTACGGAAATGTAGTAGTAATACTTTTACAAATGTATAGGTATAGTAATAATGTAGCTTAGTAATTTGTCTTTTTAAATAATA